ACACGATCTCGCCTTTGGGATTCTGAGCGTAGCGAGTCTCGTCAGCAGAAGCAGCTGTTTGTCCAGTGAGAAGGTTTTGAGTCATCACGTGCTTCTTGCGCTTGAACTTGTTCAATCGATGGGTTTTCCCCACTGTGTAACGCCGGCTGTAAAGCTTCGTGGTGCTCGGATCCGGCGATTTTCCGCTGGAAATCGATCAATGTTTTCAAAGTAAAATACAATAACACGGCACAATAAATATCATTACAACGAACTCCAAGTAACCTGATCAAAAATTATTTACCATGAAACATTTTTCGTAACGAGATTCATGGTTATTTGGGCATACAGGAGTGAAATTTGGTAGTTAGCGGGCAATAATTCTTTTCAAGTTTTTGCACAGCAGATTTGAGAAGAAATTCCCACATTTCCAACGTCTTTTGATGAAATAATCAAGAAAATACAAAATGCGAAATGCAATTCTCTCATCTTCAACCTTCACTTCGTTGACTTTTCTAAAATTATACAGTTACAGATCTTATTGAAGTACAGTATAAGCTGAAAAAACAGAAAATACGTGTGCAAGATGAGTACTGTATTTATTCATCAAGAACTGAATTTCCCTGCAGTAGAGGGAAAATGTGACACTTTTTTCAAAATAAAAAAGCCATTGATAAATTTTAAAATGAAGATAAATAAATTTTGTTCGGAGTTTCATACTTCCTACAATGCTGAACAGTACAGTATTTCTTGAGCAAAGAGATTAGCATTTATATTTTTTGAAGGTTTCTCAATAATGCACAAGTCGGGCTTTCCCCACAATGTGCCAATTGGTAAAAATGTTCATGACCCTTTCACACATAATCCAAGGCAAAATTTCGTATACCGAGCTTGAAGAGGAAAATTAGTTCGTTCCGAAATATTTATATCATTGTCCCTATTGAGAAACTGCGGAGACCAAGGAGAAAAACCCGTCCTTCATTGCAGCGGAATTTTACAGTGTCACAAAAGAACGGAACCACTTCATCGGAAGAGGAAGCTTGTGAAAAAAATAACGTTGGAAGAAGAGCAGGCATCAAAACAATCACCAGATGTCATCCTTCTCACTTGAAAGCCCGACCAGAATAAAAGGAATTCTGTCAAGAACCTCGGAATTGAAAATGTACATCAGCCCAAATGCTACAAACCTGAGAACGAAGTATGCATGGATAAACAAGCTCCCATTGTTCCTCACAGCATTGGAAGTCGGCACCTCCAATTGCTTCACGAAAGTTCCATCCCCGTCTTGACCCGCACTCCAATCCCCATACACAAGCTCCTCTTGGAGCCACACCAACTTCGTCGAGTCGCTGAAATTGGAGAATTTCTCGTCCTCAGATAAGTACACGTACAAGTCCATCATGGTGCCGTTCTGAAACAGGTTGGACGCGGGCTTTAGTCCGACGGATGACGGATTATCGCCTGTTTGTGGGGCCGGACGTCGGAAGAAGTTGGCGATAATGTAGAAGATGACTCCGCGAATGAGCAAGCCTTTCAGCATGCCAAACACGGAGAAGCCATTTTGTTGCTGCTGCTCGCCTTCGGCCACGCCGGCAGCCGCCGCCGATGTGCCTGGCGCCGCTACGGCGACTTCGTCCGCCATATCTTCCTCTTCGCTATGAATTTACAGCCTAAAAACGAAAATATATTGCAATACTCATCAAAACTTCACAACATACGCTGATCGAAAAAAAAAAACAATCACTAAATTAAATCATTTTCGAGCGTGAACCACGAGTGAACCCAAGTTCCGCAAATACTACTTGTTCCTTACATCACTCAAACTCAGGTTTAAAACGCCAATATGAGTAAATAATTTTTAAAAATATAAAAAATTACTTTTTCGACTCAGCTTACATTAGGTTGCGTTGTACGTGTTTCTACCAAAAATCTGGGCCTGTCAGATTAGATTCGAATTAATCGTATGGAGAAAGTTGATCATAGTTCTGTCTGGTGCGAGGATATGCTGACCTTAACGAACTTCAATAATGCGCATAAAGATTTCATTACTTAATCAATGGGTTAATTCGAAACCCAACTGACAAAAAAATATTGAATCTAACGTTAGATTCACAATAAGAACATTTTATGTTGTAATTGGGTCTTTAGCTTGAAGTTTCGCGGAGAAAATGAAACTAGCTAGATGCGAAATTTGATGAGGAAAAGGTGCAACCCCAAGCTCTAACATTTGATGAATTAGAATACTGAACATCGTTCCTGGAGAAAATATTTTTTTGTAAACCACCGAAAGTACTGTACGGGAAAAGGAAGTTTTCATTCAACGGGATGTTGATCCCTCAACTCACGGATCGGAGCACAATTTATTTTCTTGAAAATCGTAACGTCAAATAACTGAAGTAAAATTTGCCTTAAACTGCTTCTGTTTTATTAATTTTGATTCTCGAACGGGAAGAACTGTAATAGAAGAGAAAATCCGAAAATTCGAACAGTTTAAAACTTGGGATCGTTTCGTTGTCATCAAACTGGGGATTCCACATGTTCGAAAGAGAGTTTAATCACCTTAATTCAAGATTTCTTTTATAGCTGTCCTTCACCTAGGATTTACTCAGATTCGATGTCCGAAATAACGCGTACGTTCGTCATATCCAAAATTTGACCTTAACATGCACATCGTGAAGCGTGAATTTAGGAAAAATTACAGTTGAAAAAGTAAAAGAATTATTGAGAAGACAGGAGAGGTTCACAAATGAGTGCTGAAATCCATAAACTTACCTCAGATCGGAAGAACTGGACGCAGTTTCACAGGCCGACGGATTAAACCCAGAATAATTCGCACTTACAAAATACAATTCCCACCGCTCGGACAAAAAAAAATGATCTCATCAAAAACCGCCGAAAGTTTCCTTCCCACTCTCCTGTAAAGGAATGACACAATCAAGTTTAGAACATCACAACGTCTCGTCTCCTTCGTAGACAAGAAAAAGCCAGTGTAGATCACGAAAACGAATGTTCGCGTGAGCATTCGCACTGATATCCAATGAGATTCACCGGGACACAATTCAGGCGACATCTATGCAGCGGAGAAAAATCGCGGACACGTGGCATCCAACAGGAAAGGAGCCCAATAACCCTTACTAAGAACGTTAAACTCCCCCATTGAACTGATGGCGAATATCAAGTGGGGACCCAAAATGCGGACGATTCGACTTCAGGACACTTACATAGATAAAAATCCGGATGTCGGCATGGTCCGACATCCGGACCATGCACCAACACCAGATCACTTAACCAACATTTCTACACAAATGCAACAATTTTCTTTCTTCTAAATTTTGGTATCTCTTGAACAAATTGCATTTTATAATTTATATAATCAAAGAAATAAGGATAAAATAATTTATTATAAATACACTCATTCATAATCCAAAACAGGTTAATTTTTGCTAATTTCTTCCGAGTTCTTTCCATCATCTGTGCACAAAACAGAAAAACTTTTGTTTGTTCTTTTGCTTTTTCGGCTCTTTTTTGCGCCAAAAGATCAAATTCTTGACGGTTTTCTTCTCTGCTGTTATTTTCTAGATCATCAAGGTGGGAAAAATTATTTCGCTCAATTTTTTGGAGGATTTTTTTCAAAATATTCAATCAAAAAAGAATCAATGAAATATGTTTCCATTGAAGTTTGAGGGAAAACGTGATCAGATATGCAGAAGTTTTGACAAAGGGACAGAGTCCAAGCACAGATTACATCTGCATCTCAAGGTCCCACCTTAACTATTTCCAAGTGCTAAATTTATGCTTCAACTTTAGGAGAGCAATGGAAAACAAAAGCACTCATTTCAGCAGAGAAAAAGCCCACACAACACCAAGACCACTTTTGCAAAACACGCACAAACACTTCAATCGAATCGACCACTTCCCACATTCATTTCAAAGTCACGAATCCCAGCGACGGAAAAGGCCACGTTTCACTGTCTTCACTCAGCAGTTCTGTGACTCACAATAAGCCACGTGGACGTCGACAATACATTTCCTCATTCCTGCAACAATTCGTTTTTCTTAAATCTGAACAATCCGCTGGAGATCACAAGACACGTGATCATGATAGAGATGATCTGTTTGATTCGGATGGAGTGAAAATTTAATTATTTGTCAAAAAGGCTCATGGAAAATCGTCTCTTGCCAACTTCCTTGTGGGTTCGCCTTCTGACAGTGCAGTAGACGTGGGAGATGATAATGACTTTGTACAGTACCAGAAACGTACTAGCCCAAAAACAAATCTGAGGAAAATGCAAAGGAGATGTGAAACACACAAAATTAAAAGGTAAGATATTTTTCCTTCAATTTTGATGAAATGTAGAAAGGGGCATTTTTTTCAACTTTGAAAGTTTCTAAAAAGATTATGAATGAATTCTGAAGATGGGCTTCACTCATAATTCACCTCCCAACTTGAACTGTTTTCTCAATTTTCAGATTTTGGCAAGCAGATTTCACACACAAGTAAAAATCGTAGACACAGTCGGTTACAGCGGAATCTCAGAAAAAGACATTTTCACTGGCTCCACTGTTGAAGCACTAAAAAGGGAACCCTTCTCCACATGTTCATTTTCTTCACAACTGCAAATCTAACATTCACAGAAGACAACCACAAGATGTTCAACGTACTCACGCAAACTTTTGGCACTGGTCGGCTGAAAAAAATGTAGCAGTGATAGTGAGTTTTCTTACATCATTGATGGCGACAGGAGGGAGGTTTTCAAAAAGGCGGTTTTTGAAAAGTTAGATCCTTTGAAGAACAATGAGCCACCTTTTTTATTTTTCTGGATCTGCATCACACAGAAGATGATCATCGGGAATCTCTTGGAAAACCTCTGGAGCTAAAAAATCTATTCCTTTCACCATTGTCCGATTCTGGAACTCAGTTTGGCCAATCACCTTGTCTCAGATTACGCTGAATGAGAAAATTTCTTCAATGCTGAGGTAAATCACCAACACTCACACAATAATAAAAATAAATGGTGAAGTTACACAACAATCAAAGGCTATTAAGAATGATTCTTTGTCAGAGAACAGAGATTCACTGACCAACTACACTGACCTAATTTTCCCCTATGGTCGAAATTTCTGAAGTAATCATGAAATGACAAAGAAAACTGATCCAGGATTCTGTTTTGAAAATCATGTCCCAAAAGCTACTCTGTGGAAATAAATTTTCAATTCATCAGACAGGTTTTCTACGTACATGTACTTTATTTATATCAATAATGACAGCATGTCACTGACAGTTTTTATTCCTTCTTTTCACTCTAAACAAATGTCCACTAGTTTATTAAATCTTCCTGGGGAGAATGAAAACTGTTATACAGCAGTATCATCAAAGGTTTACAGGGTATTGAAAATATTTCTTGGACAAGTATTCCGTCCCATGTTTTCAAGCAAGAAAAGAGCTGCATTTCACAATGCACTGTAACTTTGCAGATCCATCATCAAAGATAGAAGTATTCGAATGAAAGATACAGGCTTTTTCAGATAGAACTGTTCCCACTTTAGTATACTATATTTTAAGCATCACCAATTTTTTTAATATTTACATTTTTAGATTGAAAGACTTGAGAAAGAAAAAAAAAGCGATGAGCGAAAGGGAAGAATCATGCAGAAGCAAATACATCGGTTGAGATAAAAAAAAAAAAACGCAAGAGACTTCAACACTCCATGGACCAAATCGACCATGGATCAATTCACTGGTTTTCTCACAACTGGGATGAATTATAGATCTACTCGCATAGTCTAGAGAAATTATACATGCAGGCTACTTTCTATTTCGACTATTGGATTTCTTTTAAGCAATTTGACCTACTTGTATACATTTTCCACAGCTTCCTCTGCTGCTTCAACCGGGGAAACATGAGGAGCATCAGATTTCAAATCACATTTCTGAAGAGACAATTCAGCCCTCGAAAAATTAGCCCCATAATATCAGCAACGCGGTAATACTAAAAATTATGTCTGATCGACGTACACAATATCTGAGGAACATGAAGAGATAAATTATCAATCAGAGGTTTATCAATGATTTAAAAACACTCATCTGTTGACTGCAAGTTATTTTTGTTTCATTTTCATCAAAAGAGGCAGTGAATCATGAACGCTTTTAAAAACAAATTTGTTCATACTTTTTGTTGGTACACCAAAAACATTTTTCAAGTTTGAAAAAATGTGGTAACCAGACTAATCTTCAAACGCAGAAGCATATGAAATCAAAAACACAAAATCTAAGCTACAAGAGTTCACACTTCGAAAACCTGCAAAACAAATTTGTAAATAAATTGTATAAGTGAAAAGGAACGGTCACTCTTATCACGAACAAAATTAATTATCATTCCATTATTAATTTTAATACTGTTCCAGTTGAGCGGCTACAGGTTTAAACATTCCCAAAAAACAGAATTTCTGGGTTTTATAAATACAATATGATGAAACTTCGTGAATTGCAGTAAGGTGACCAGTAATTCAGACCCAAACTTTTGCCGAAAACACGTTGCCAAGGCAGCAGCTGAGCCCACAACAGCGTGGAAAAGGGGTCACATACAACAGTCACACACAAACTTGCCAATAATTTACTTTCAGCCCTCGAAAAATTAGCCCCATAATATCAGCAACGCGGTAATACTAAAAATTATGTCTGATCGACGTACACAATATCTGAGGAACATGAAGAGATAAATTATCAATCAGAGGTTTATCAATGATTAAAAACACTCATCTGTTGAATGCAAGTTATTTTTGTTTCATTTTCATCAAAAGAGGCAGTGAATCATCAACGCTTTTAAAAACAAATTTGTTCATACTTTTTGTTGGTACACCAAAAGCATTTTTCAAGTTTGAAAAAATGTGGTAACCAGACTAATCTTCAAACGCAGAAGCAAATGCAATCAAAAACACAAAATCTAAGCTACAAGAGTTCACACATGTTCACTTCGATTTTTTCTTTGAAAACCTGCAAAACAAATTTGCAAAAAAAAACTTCAAGTGAAAAGGAACGGTCACTTCTATCACGAACAAAATGAATCATCATTCCATTATTAATTTTAATACTGTTCCAGTTGAGCGGCTAAAGATTTAAACGAAATATCAGAATTTCTGGGTTTTATAAATACAATATGATGAAACTTCGTGAATTGCAGTCAGGTGACCAGTAATTCAGACCCAAACTTTTGCCGAAAACACGTTGCCAAGGCAGCAGCTGAGCCCACAACAGCGTGGAAAAGGGGTCACATACAACAGTCACACACAAACTTGCCAATAATTTACTTTTCCCTGTGAGTGAGAGCGAGACCCTATTTCTGCCAAGTCCATCATCACAGTCAAACGTTAAAAAATTACATAAAATTTACAAAAACAGAGCTATGATCACAAGAAAAACGTTCATTGATGAAATTTCAGTGATTATTTTGATTGTAAGTTTCAACAGCCCAAAGGTGGTCAGTAAGCCTGACCCGGGATTTGACGAGCAGCGCTTCTTTTGGCTTGCAAATCCAAATCCATTCCCACCAGTTGAAGGAGGAATCATTCCCGAAGACCCACTGCAGCCACACTCCGGGTTTTCACAGCGAATTCTTATATTTGGGATGAAAGCACACGGAAAATCCGTTCTTGGAAACTACTTGTTCGGAAATAGCCCCATCGCATGGCCCTACGGCAATCCAGGTGATCAATTTTGAACGAAAATGAGAAATTCTGCAGTACGGTACTTCATTCCCATCTCAGAACTGTCGGTGAAATATTTTGGCGAATAGAATCTTCAAGACGCAGATCAAACGACGACAAATTAAGTATAAGCGAACGCCTAGCCTAAAAACCCAAACAAGTATCAAACAAAAGCATAACCAACCCGTCACTCATTATTACAGGATCATACTTTGAAACGCGGGGAGGCAAACGAAACATGACAGGACTTCTGGGAAGATCTAAATTGGACTTGACTATGATAAGAGTGGTCGAAATGCCAGCACCGGACATACAGGGAAGCAAGTACTCGTTTCACAAACGAAACGAAATCAAAGCATTTTTTATGGACAACGAAGACTTCTTCCATATATTTTGCTGGGTGAAAAATGCCTCGGAACCAAGATATACGCGGGCAGACGCTAACATGCTAAAAATCATACAAGAGGTATACGGAAAGGGTTTCTACAAAAATCTCGTCATTTTGATGGCAGGATACAACTTTTCTAAAGAGGCTCAAGAGCAGCGGGAATCTTGGGATAATTTTCGAAAGTAAGTAAGAATAATTTCTGCATCACGAGCCTATTTCACATACACGCAGAGAGAAGGTGCGAACTTATAATATAATGAAATGCCCTGGTTCTGGATTTCTCAGCAGGAAGACGACTTTACTCAAAAGCATGTTTCCCGAAAGGCTTCACTCACAACTGCCCAACATACCGATAACTGGACTGGATCCCATGTGCGATATATTTGATCAACAAGCGTACTTTTCATTTCTCGTAGAACGGAACTCAATGTCACTAGCTTTCAATCATTTTGCGAAAACAGCCGTTATACGAATGGACAGAGCTCGTAAGTTAATGAGGAAATACAAAAAGGAACGAGATGATCTTCAGGCACATGTCGAACAAATCGATAAATCCAATTTAGATAAGAAACGCTTCTCCGCGTTCAGAGAAAATTTTAAGAAGAAAGAGACTCTGATAAATCGTCTGAAAGAAAATGACATAAGTCCGGCATGGCGAGAGGACATAAAAAGTTTAACGTAGCTTTTACTCGAGTTATGAACATGAGGACTATAAAAGAAAACAGTGTATTATAATTGAAATGAAAATTCGCTTCATCATTGAGTTCAGAAGTGCTCTGATTTTACTTGTGAGGCGAAATAGAAGTGGCTTCCTTAAAGGAAGCTGGAACGACTCACCAATGGTTCGACCGCAAATCTTGGATGAAAATTTCAGGACGATACTGCATCATGCAACAAATTCATGTCACGATGCAGTGATTTTCGAGCTAGTATAGCCAGCAGCAAGTCGACTTATCGCAGAAGGCTACGAGAACACATTTTTAAAGCTACGATGATGTTTCGAACTTTCCTTCACACTACGTATACTGATTCGCACTCTTCACCTGAACGATGACAACACCAAGAACAATTCGCATCTTCCACAACCCGACGACTGACGATTATCCAATCTCCCATCCGTCGGACGAGGAGACACGTCTAAGTCAATTCTGAACTCAGAAGGGACGAGGGCTCAGACGGGCACAACACGCGATGTGCGCAGGCAGGGAAATAAATTTCAAATTTATCAAAAGCGAAAAAGAACCCTGCTGGCCGTCACATAAAACAAAATACCCTGCTAAACTTCAGGGATCCTCTGGTATACTACAATATTTAAAAGGATCTAATAAATAACATGCACAGCTGATTTGGAATTGCTAGTACTATAATGAACTGTACACTACAGTGATTGGTTGCATTCCCTTATGTGTAATATGGACTGCACAGCATTTTAGACCCTCTCAAACTGGTCCAAAACTTACATATTTCAAATGTTTAGCCCATATCTGAAGTATCTTGAAATTATTACAGACCTGGTTCTCAAGTCAAAGATTTTCCACTATCCATAAACCTCTGTAAACTCAAATTTCTGGAAGACTGTATTCAGTATACTGTATATATGTGCTATTCCAGGGATGCAGAAAAGAGAAAAGAAATACAAATGTAATTGATGCTTTTCAAAAGGAAGTGAGTGACAATAATTGGGTAAATTAACATTTTCATCCACGTGCAGCATCATGTAAACTCCTTTACCCAACAGCTTAAAATGCCCATATAACATATAACTACAGAATATACTGTAGTTTATCAAGTGTACTGTCTGCATGCAAGAAGGTACGGTAAATTATTTCTTCCATAAATCATGCATCACCCATCAATTTACCAACTATTGAAAGATTTACAAGTTTGGTATCACAGTATGCTCTATTCTTCCTGGTTTCAATATTCGAACAGAAAGGGCCAAATGCAAATTTAAGGATTCCTTGAATGCATTAAGAAGTCCTTCTATCACACATATGATGCTTCATTCCTCACCAGCACAAAATGAAAGGACAAGGCTGAAAAGAAGTGGTACTGTACTGTATTTCTCGTCTTTTTTTTTCAGTAAAAGTTTTAACATTCCCCACAGAATAGTCATGACATCCTGAATGATCAAAGGTTTTGCTTGCTTCAAGAAGAAATGGCACAACATGCTCCCACCAAACATTGGGCATGTGTAACCTAATGATTGCTGTCCTGGAATAAAAGATTCTTGGCTAAAAAAGCCACTTGGCACTGGATTGACGCACCAAAATCACTGAAGCTCATCAAGATGATTAAGAAACGTTGGGCTGACCAAATTCGCTCCACTGCTTGGTGCAGTTGAAGAGTTGATTTAGTTCACAAGAGGTTCTACTTCTGGGTTGGTTTCCAGCAGAAATAAAAGGATCTATTTAAGGACCTCAACGCACACATTTTACGGCATAATTGAGAGACTAACAGTCAGTTCTCGACGGTCAACAAGATCTACTTCAGATTGTTCCGAAGAGAGAACGGGAAAGCAGATTTGAAGCACGACGCATCAAGATCAAGACTGTGTTTGCAGAATGCAACCGCACTCAGTATAAGGGATTAAGAGGCATGAAAAGAAGGAAGACGGTGATTTCCAACATTTCACTTCATTTCAAGCGATTAGGAGCACACAGAACGTACAACGTCGCAGTTTACTTTCCACGCTTGGTCTTAATCTTCTTTAGGTAGAATTCCAGCTCCTTCCCCTCCAATACGTAACCGTCTGCGCGGCCACATTGGCCAGGTCGAGAACCAAGACAAGCTGTAAATTAGAAACAGGCGTAAATTACTGTAAAATCATCACCGACGACTAACCACATGTGAGAAAAAAAAAACGAAAACAAGAAAAAAAGCATTGCGGAATCGTATACGTACCTAGAACGCGACCTGACATGAACTGCTCTTCGATCGCGGGTTCCACGGCGGCATGCTTCTGTCGCTCCTTATACTTCAACTCGGATTTCTTCGAGCGCTTTTTCGTGAAGTTGGCCTCTTCAGCTTCCGACTGCGTTTATCGACTCCGCATTAGTAACATGACAGTAACACGGCTTAGTATCAAAATGGCATACCAGTTTTGCGCCCTTCTTGCGACCAAGCGGTTGGGCGTAATGGGCTTCGTACCATTGACGAAACGGTGCGGCATCGATAACGATGATGGCGTTCTTCACAAGGGTCTTGGTACGGACCAACTCGTTGTTCGATGCATTGTACACTACATCAACGATACGAGTCTTACGGGTGCAATCTGCGGATGAAAATCAAGAACATGTAACATCTTCGTCACAACAACGTACAGGAAACCTTCGCGCTCAACTCAAAATCTCAAGAAAATCCGCGGAAATAAGATCGACCGTCACTATGAAGCATCGTAAAAAGCGTTTCGTATGAAGAATCATCTCAACGCCTAAAAGTCAAGTCGATTACGAAGATATCTTCAACAGGTAAGACGAGATACATAACACGATGAGAAGGACTTACTTTCTGAACCCCACGCGAAATTGCCTTGATCCAAACGCAAAGCCCGGTACTTCTTGTTCCCGCCTCTCGTCCGTACAGTGTGAATTCTCCTAGGCCCAATCTGTGAAGATACACGTTTGTAACGTCCCGGTGTAAGAATACAAACCATGCTTACCTTCGTGTTGGCAGCGGGGCGACCCAATTCGTACTTGCGCTTCTTGCGGATGGGAATACGCTTCCCTCCGGTCTTCCTCCGCTTATGCCAATTGTTGCGGGATATACCTGAATACCATTAAGAACCGTACATCATTCACAACTCGGCAAGGTTTTACAACGCACGAATTACTCACCCATGATTGAAAGTTACGAAGCGAAACTCAATGGACGACCGGTGAATTACTTCAGAAAACCGGACTTCACTCAACAGAACATACCTGCAGGATCATATGAATAAAATTAGTCATGCGTGATAGGTAAAAAGCACGTACCGCGTAAAACGCACGAAACATGTAAAAAACTGCCTAAGGACACAAGACCGTCGGAATAACAATACGGCACAACTAATCAAGAAAAAGCATCACGAGAAACTGAACAGCGATCCATCGCTCTCCCGTCCAGGAAACGCGTTCACCCTTGATCGCAGCCATAGTACGGCTGGCATTTTGCTTTGATGGCGGCCGACGACAGCAATATAACCAAAACCACAGAGCCAAAACGAGTTTCACAGGTTCCAGGAACTTGCATTTGCTATGTGGCTATATAAATCCATGCACTTGCAATATACTGTACTAGAAAGAGAGAATATCTTTCTTGATTAAGTCCCACAGCAATATTGAGGCAATTCAAAGGGGGAGGGCGGGGGAATTATAGAAACTAGAAATTTTTCTACGCTAGCTCTATCGCTTTGCTGGTTTCTTCTGCAAATTAATTTTCAGCTTTGCAGTTGGGACAGACCCGACATTGCCAGCCGGTTGAATGATGGTCACCCAATCAATATATTGACTGGGTGATAACACCTTCATCGAAACCGTAGTTGAAATCAAGATTCAAATTATAGTTTCGTCATAAATCAACCGATAAAATGTCAAAAGCAAAAGACAAAAACCTTTCGCACAAAATCGAAGAATTATATTCCGAAAAATCAGACAATTCGCAACAATTCAATTTATAAAAATCATAACAATGTTGAGACCCGCGACATTCAAAAATCTCCAATGACACTCGAACGCATATATCCACCACTTTGACAGAACAAAATAAGACAATTGTTCATTCGCAAGCGCCAAGTTTTATTCATCATTGAGAATCGCGTCTTGAATTTCTCGCACGACGACGATCCTATTGAGCATCTTCCTGATGATTTCTATGCTCAAAGATTGAGTTGAAAACCATACAGGCGATTCCGCAACGCAGTTCCGTTCAGGGACCAGATAGAAGCACGAGTTATGTCCCCTCACGCTCTTTGGACTGAATACAAAAATAAACATGAAATTTTACAAAATATTTTAAAAAGAAAATGCATCCTGTAGCACATGTCGGACTAGTGGCTGAACAACGCTGCTAAGAGTTTTTGCCGTATAACTCGAGTCAAAATGTACGGAACGGATATTATTCGAATTCTTTGCTTTCGAAATTCCTCGAGTATAAATAATCACAACTATTCACAAAATTACATGTCAACGAATTTATCGCAGGGTTATGTAGCAGCCAGACACACACTGTAAAATCACTGATGAATGTCGATTTCTCACCATTTCGACACATACAAATCGTACAGTTGAATTGGACATCTGCTCCTGTCCTCCAGGTTCGCGGGCATCTCGTAATACTTCGATTCGCTTTTCCAGACTATGAAAAATCATTACAAAACACTGTACGTGTATTGTAGGAAAGAGACAAAACACGGAGAACTGATCTTACCTTGACCTGAACCTTGTGGATGATATTTGAGGGTAAGCTCTGAATTATCCTTGGACCGGAAATTTCCATTGGCCCAGTTTTTTAGGACTTGCAAGAAAGTAAACCGCTGATGCATCTCTGGTGTCTGAATAATTTCAAGACGAAATATAATCTTCTTAAATATGCTCTCAGACGTCGTCAACTCACCTTCAACAAAAAATACTTTGTTGCGAAGTACATGAGGGAATTCAACAGCGTATGCGGCGAATGAGCTCCAAGTTGTTGGGACTCCCACAAATGTTCTTCCTCCAGATGTGTCATGACATAACCTAGAAAAAATTAGACGGTGTTCACTTTGAAATATAGAAAAAAATCAGTTGGAAAGTTAAAAACCACCGGTTAACCAATTATTCTCGGTATTTTAGGCGTTGAAATATCGAGGAAAATCGCATAAATCGCAAGTGAAAACGAACACAGAAAATGAAAATGTTTTCCAAAATGAACATTTTTGCAAAAAAAGACACTTTCCACCCATTATACTCAGTGGATAAGTCAGAAAAATTTAATGCCAAGAAAAATCATTTTCAAATCTTCTCGGCCTATTCGCAAAAAGCAAGTATTTTACTGCACAGTAATCCTCCCTTAAAACACTCTCAATTTCAGAAAAAGAACGAAGTGTTATGTAATCAAAGATTCAATCTTCATTGAAGAATTTATTAAACAACCACAGCAATTTAAAAAATTCAATAAAATACGCAACTGACCCATAGAATCGAGCATGGACGCAGAGGAAAAGCTGCGCATAAGCTCATCCAACGCGTCCGTGAAGGGCGAGAACAAGATGTCACTGAAAATGTTCTCAGTTCGTCCGTTCTCGAACAAATAGGCTTGAATCCCCAGACACAAGTAATACACGAGGTCGGGAGAATAACGAGATCCGTCCGTCTTCTTGACTTCCGACACAAATTTGCTCAGCCCGTAACACAACTCCGGCAATGTACATTCCAGCAATTCGCTTTTCAAAAATATCACCTTGGAATCCGGACGGGTAGCTAGCTGTTTCTTCAAGGCAGCATTCGTTTGGTTCACGAACATTTTCCATGCTCGCAAACCGAATGTATACTGAAACAGATATTTTTTCAATAACGACCTCGACGAGAAACTTCAAAATAAAATCGATTTAATCACAAGGAATAAGACTAATAAGCAGCGCCTGGCGGCAATTGTGAAAAATCCTCTCAACAAGAACGTTTATACAGTACAATATAACCAATAATATTCATCCGACGTTCCTACTTGTCATGATTTTTTGACACTACTAAGTAACGATTATTCTTTCTCCAGAACCTTCTCCAGAAATTCTTCGATCGTGACACAAAATTCCAAGCTTGTGCATCGGCTTGAAATTCTACCTGGCTTTCGAATCGAGTGAAGACTCGCTGATTTTCGGGAGTAAAATCTACCTTTCCAAAAAATCTATCCCCAAATGTGGTTTGAAAACAGAATTTTCAGGCTAAAAAAAAATCACTGACCTTGAGGCACCAATCAGCATCAGACCTAGCTTCCGGCGGAACAGGTAAAGCTTGCGTCACATACTCAGTTGTTTCCCTGGCGACTTTTCTCGGCTGGACGGCTTCCGATTTTTTCTTGTAACTCTTGATGATCCTCTTGTTCTCAGCGCCTCTCGCAGTCGACCTCTTGTTATCTTCAGCGGCCATCGTCACAACTTCGAGAATTTGCTTTTTCGCTAAAATAATGAGCAACACAATTTATTCAATCTCTAGCAAACCAGAAAAAAGAACGATCTGAATTTGCGAAAGCAGCGCAAAACCTGAACGTTCCTCAAAACGCTCTCTTCCAAATAATTTGGAATAGCTGAAAATACCAACGAGTATCGCTCGAAAAAGCAGGAAGAAAATTACTGCCGCATTTCTTCTTCACTCGGAGACACATCAGTGCTGTTCAATCTAATTTCTACTGAATCAATTAATGCAATCGGAAAAACGATAAATATGATGGATTTTCACACAGGTTCTTAGCTCCTTCATGACCTTGGGCCGACACACTTCAAGCTTCGCTTCTTTAAACTGAGCGGACGAAAACTGCTTTTCAAATTAAGCATAGAGTGTCGAATTTTACCGATGATATTTCAGACTGACTGAGTCTCAAAAACTGTCGACCATCCCTCGCATATTGCACAATACGTATCTCATTCATTTCTGATGATCGGCAAAGCATGTATCGGAAAAATCGAAAAAAAAACTTGATAAGATCGGGATTAGAAGAAGACAGAAATTTCACACTGTTTAACCAAACACAAGCACATTTTCCAACAACTCACGGCTCCTGTTCTCAACAACGGCTTGTCCTCCAATGGCAGATACGTCATCGATTCCCATACAGTCGGCGACGTCGCCCAAAGTACTCAAGGCAGCTTGGAGAATATCTTCACCATTGTATTCCGATGTCTCAATGACCTCTTCTTCCGCCTCAACCTCTACCATGACATCACCGTCGTAATCAATCACTTCCATCAAGTCGTTATCAAACATTTCATCCTGCTTCGCATATTCTTCCACTGCCTCCGCCATTTGCAAGATTTCCTCTTGCAATGGGTCTCCTTCTGCATCGCTCTCCTTCGCTCGCGTCTAAAAATGGAAATACAGTAGTAGTAATGACATCGTTTTTGCGAATTAATTTCTTGCTGATGCTCTCTCTTTTCGAAAGAATCCACTAAGATGCCCTGAACAAAAAAGCGAACCCCGAAAAAACGTCAATAAATTACGATGGGCTGAAAATACTGCAAAACTCCTGAAATAATCGGATACCGAAATGTAAATTTACTCATAAATACGCACACGCATATGAGCCAGACACTTGCTCTTCGACAATCACGGAAACACAATGTTTTATCGCACAAAAACCTATACATTACTGTATTTCAAATATTTATACTGTACATCAAGTACACAAAAACAACGCATTTTTCAAGTAAAGCACATTCTGTCGCAGAAACAGGCACCGAATAAAAAATCGCTTTTAGTAGTTAAATTTTGGCGTAAAAATAATCAAACATTACGAACAACAAAACAAAAAGACTTACCATCTTCTTCGGACTGTTCATTTTTGAATGCCCCGAGGAGGTCGGCTTCCCTTTTCCAGAAAACAACGTTTCCGGAAGAATTAATGGAACTGGTACCGGAAATGGTATCGGAATGGGGACCGGATACGGGACGTTGTACATCGCCATAGGAGTAGGGACGTAAACTGGAACCGGGACCGGAATAATGATCGGCTTTTCTTTCACCACAAAAATTGGTTTGTCTTTCATGATGACCGCTAAAAAAGTAAAGAGAATCAATACGATACCTTTCCAGTAGCACACAATTCAGAATCCTTTCATTTTTTACGTTAAACATTACTCGAATGGTGAACATAATCAAGTAGCATTTGAGAGCGATACAACGGAGGCAAAAACACCGAAGAAACATTTCTACATGCACTACTGTATACTGAACAATCACGTTCAAGAAATTTCATTGAAAAAAACGTTCCGAACATTTTTTTATCCCAGACATTTTACAATGAATAGCTAGACTGAAGGCAGAAATATTTTTTGGCATTTCCTTCGGGCATCCAAAAATTTTCTAAATTCATCTCTTGTTTAATTCTCACAAAGCATAAATACCAACTAAAATACTGCCACCACAACGGATTTTCTGCGATTGATTAATATAATTAAATATCACGCAATAAAATAATACCTGGTAAAACATTTGATTGTCCGTCAGATTTCCCGGTGGGCGGAAAGATTTGCCCAGTTGGGATCATAATTGGAGCAAAAACGGGAGCAGAGTTCCCAGCAACCGTCTTCGCATTCACCAGCATCATTCTCGGGGGAGGGGTAACGTTTTGACTCGAAGGTGACGAAGCGAACCCAAATTTCGGGTCTGCCTCATTGGGATTCACAGACTGTGGACCAACTAATCTCGGAGACAGACCAGGGCTTAAATTCGCAACTGCTGGCGCAGCAATCAACGTAGAAGGAAGCAGGATTGTTTGCTGAGGCGAGAGAGAAAAAGTTGGACCCTGCAACCCACTCATGAACATGGGCTTTGACGCATCATGCGTTCCTTGGAAGACATTCGGCTTCGTATTCATGACCGAATGCATTTCCATCGTTGAGAACTTGGGAAATGGGTCTGGATTTAGATCCATGTCGATCAGTTCGTCCACGGTGTCGAAAGGTTCTTCGAGTTCCGAATCACTCAATACAATACGTCCACGCGGCTTCCTTCTTTCAGTTTCCCTCTTCAACTCCGATTTCATTCGCTTAACTTCCTCAGAATATTTTGGATTGAAGGCCTATAAATTGGAAATTTCATCCAATCCAGGAGGATTATTTTCCCATTAGATACAGAGATTATTTAATTTTCCCCTAAGATCACCATCAATAAAAATTATAAAAAAACAACACGCGGAATCTAGATAAAAGAAAATCAGGGAGTGGGGAACTCAAAAGCAAGAATAACAGAAAGAATAACTAAATACTTTTAAAAACTTCATAAAAAATATTTTACATCCCTGGTATGAACTACTGTACTGTAATGTAGGTTCTAAATAATCCTCCGTGATTTAAAACTGAAAAACCACATATTTTTTTAGAAGAGGTCTTCCGCCAGTTGCACATTCTTCCACATCCGAGCCAACTTCAAAACAGAACAGTTTGAAACGGCAAAATCGAAGAAGTATAGAAAAATAAACGTGAAATACTCACGATATCTTCGATAAGAAGCAACGGACGTTTGAAAACCGGAACAGAACGTTTCGAATTATTTGGCACGTGCGACGCTCTCCGATACTGCTTGGGAGCACCTTTGGCGTAGGGGTGGCTTTTGGTAGGCGGAGTGAGCATGACTGGCTTGGAATTGCCCTGCTTCTCCAGCAGTTCCCGTTTTAACAAAACACGAGTGAACACAAGTCGGTCCGGCAAATTACAAAAATACCGCTGCACTCCGTGCATGTCTTGGCATCGGATCATATCAAAACTGTATTTCGAAACCTGAAAAGATCAAGATACCGTATTCACTCGATTTAAAAAATCATCCTTCGAAATCACAAAAGGGCTGAGACGCACGGGTAAGAATTTCAACGTTAAAGTAAGATGAGGTAGGCTTGGAAAAAATTTACCTTGCAAACGGCACAAGGAACAATCGTGTTTGAGTTCAGAACGTGAAGATTACTGCATTGCTTGGAGCAGAAATTCACGTTCTTGCCTTCGATACTGAAAGTTATCATGTTACGATTTTCCTCGGCGCATCTTCCGCACACCAAACAAGTCTCTGAAAAAATATTTCATCCAAACAACAAGTACGGAAAAGATTTGAAAAATGCTACTCACCAAGGGGTCCATTTACGACGAAAGCCTGCATGCATTTCTCAGAACAAAATTTCCTTTCGGTATCATTCAGCAACAGCGTTAACGGCTCAGCCATGTTTTTCTGACACAAGGGGCATTTTCCTGAGATTGAAGACGAGCCTTCCACAGTTTCCTTGCAACCCATGCTGCAATAGGTCTACGAAATAAATTCGAAAATACTGTATTCTACTGTACTACAGTACAAATAAAACAGCCGTACAGTACTTAATGTGTAGTATAATATTGGCTAATTTTTTCAAGCGAAAACTGGAGGTGCACAAAATTTAATGTGATTTGACTGGCTGAAAAACATTTCGTTCTTTCCACAATAATGCCGTACCTTATTTTCATGCATGACGCAAAGACGTTATCTGAATACGAAGAATGTCCGAAAATAATATACTTCTATCTTAAACAACTCAAAATAATATAACGCATAGTCATCAAAAATATCACCACACTCTTGACCACAGTAGGCTGAAAAAATATCACGGTATTGGAAAAACTGTATTTTCAAGACTCACCGAATTGGTTGCGTCACTTCGAATCGGTTTCGCAGAAGGATCTTTCAAATCCAATTGGCAATGAGCACACGTAGTCAAATGTTCCCGCTTAAAATTATCGAGACACACGATGCCACAAAATTGGCGCGGTTTCGCTCCAAGACGAACGCAAAATTTTCCTAGTGCTGCTCTCGTGACGTGCAAGTGACACGCGAAGCATCTTGAAAAGTATTTCTTGAAGATATTCTCTAAAACATATTCAATTCACAAAGTCATGCCAAAATTTGGACGATTTATTCGAAGAAAAAAAATGAATATTCTTTTTTCTTTCTGACAGAACTTCGTCAAGATTTTGAAAACTTAGTGTTTCAAAAGCGGAAAAAAAATAAATGACATTTTCGTAACTAGATGTGAGATTATTTCTAAAATTTAAACCAAAAATTTAGGTGAAAAAGAATTTTGACAATTTTTGATACAATATCGCAACTTTTTTTCAACCGACAGTTTGAAAAGCGATGCAACACTTCAAAAACTCAGAAAAAAAGAACTTCCTGAAATTCTATACAATACATATAGAGTACAGGTATCATAAATTACTTACCCGTAACGTTTTATTTACCCTATTGAATACAGAACAGTTTTCAAATATTCGAAGTTCCCTTACCAAGACATGAAACCCCGCATAATCCAACGCCTTGCCAAATGAGGAGCCCTCGGGTGCCCAAAGGTTTTGTGCAAAGCACGCAATTGAGACCGTCGAAGCGACACATGATTTCTGACAAGCTTTCCTTGTAGATAGAATCGAAACGAACGAAGATAAGTCGCTGACAACATTCCGCGCAATAATTACGAGTATGGGAATCTTTAGTACAACACAATGGTTCTCTTCGCCTGGCTTCCAATTCAAGACATATTGATTTTGCTTTTACTAAATCTCTTTCTCTCATTCCATTTTTCGGAATCCATCGCAAATGGACAAACAAGAGCTTACCTCAGAGTTACAAGACACATGATTCAAATGTTCATCTTCAGACAGTGAACCATTCCGGGTTTCTTCGCTGCTTTTTCGTTTGACTAGTTCTGGCATTCGGGGTGAGGACTGCAAAAAAAAATAGAACCCAGGTACTGTATAAGCATTTGAATTCCCTGGAAATTGAGAACCGTGTCGTAGCGGGGCTGAATAGCAACGTAAATCATCTCGTGAGGCATTCTTTTTAGTTTACTTTATTTAGGCAATGAAACGTATCCCAGAAAATTTTCCAGAAAGTGGAAACTCAGGCCAAAGTTTTCCTTTTACGCGTTGACGACAAATACAGTTTCAGTTTTATCCATGCGTCTACACGGATAAAGTACTGTAGTTGAAGAAAGTGTGATGGAAAGGAATACTGACAAAAGCGTCGTATCAAACTTAATTAAAGGTTACCGAAAAAATGAATAATCACGGCACGCTTTAATTATCATGATTGACAGAAATACGAAATGCGTAGAATTTACCCAAATATCAACTGGACATTTTCCACTAATGAAATGGATCGATGAACAAGACCATATTGATCGGAACAATTGATGTCTTCTCAGTAAGTAACCATACAAAAATCCACTAATCCGAATATATCATGAAAACATTTTAATTTAAAAGACGTGAACGAACATAAGAAAATGAATACCTTTGGAGATTCATCAGCCGTAAGATTTTCTCTTCTCTCATCCTCCTCTATCACAATTTCCTAAAACACGTAAAAAAAAATACAGAAAAAATGAAGAGCAGATATATATACGATATTTTTAAATCGTTTGTACTCACCTCAACCACTTCTTCCTCGACAAATAAATTATTTTGGGATTCAACCTGCTAAGGCATACAAAGAAGTCATTACATTAATTCACCAAATGTGGGAACATGCTTACCATTTCAATGGATTCTGAAGAATTTTCTGTTTTGTCCTCAACATCGTCGACCAACGAATGACCCTGAACAGAAACGAATGAACTACTGCATTATAGTTCCCTCCAGGTCCTTAATCAAGGAATCAGGTCAGAATTCTCACCTTGGTCAATTTCGATGCGTTTTCTGCACGCTTTCTGTTGCACCAAGAAACGTTTCTCTCCGAAATATTATTCACAGACATCATTTCATGCAAATGAACTAATCTATTCCTTCGAAAAATTTGAAATAAATTTGTTAAACATAAAGAAAATTGAACTCACTAAACGTTGGTTTTTGATTGCTATCGTTTCAAGAACTCTTTACGCCATGTTCCGTCAAGTCCATACCGTAAAAGCGATGTTCGGAGGTCATCGATTTGGACAAGATAAATTAATTACGAGAGGTTCCTCAAAAGTCATGCAATTCAAAAACAACATCGCACAGACGGAGCTTGATGTAAGATTTATGATGAGAAATACTACGCGTCCCCTGGCGGAGATCCTCAAATTAAAGCTTGCACTCAACACTCAAGCATTTAGTTTGAACCAACCGAAATATAAATTTACAAGTGATTTTCGACTTTTGGGAAACCCCTAGCAATCGTCCCGATGCGATGAGTATTTACCCCTGCAGAATTTTGTGAAAATCAAATGGCAATCAAACAGATTTTTCTCTCAATCCCGTCATCACGGTAATTTATATTTTCTGGGCCTTTAACGTCTTCCCTTCCAAACGCCTCGACAACTTGTCTTCCACTCTCCCTCCAGGGATCCCGTCACCACCAAAAAAATACTCGGCTTTGTGGCCACCTGACTCTCTGGAACGGTGTGACGTCAAGACTCTGCGCTCACGGCTTTAAATTCGTTTCTGGAAGGAGAGTGGTCACGATGTCTTGGTGAACCGTCATCACAATTACCGCTAATCTTCCAGGAAGAAGAAGTTTCCAGATCGCTTCTGCTCCGAGTCCTGCAAAAAACAAAATTTAAAATTTAAAGTAATGGTTTTTTTCATTTATAGGAACGCAAAATTCATCTACAGTATACCCAAGAACGCAGCCAAAAAAGAACAAGTACTGTATTGCAATCCTTGTAAGAAAAACGCCGACGACACAATTTTTACATATACAGATGAACAGCCAAAAAAATTCTCAAGTCAGATTTTCGAGATTGAAGAACAACTGTCTGATATAAAAAATCCGAAAAGCGGGAGAGAAACCTAAAATTTTCCAAACGGAATATCGCTGTATCAAGTTTTTATCCACTGCTTGGGCATCCGTAAAATTCGTTTTTGCAACGTTTACAGAGAGACATTTGAGTCGAAATTTAGTCGATACCCCGGTTTAATCCAAGAGTTTCTATAAAAAGATTTTTGAACGATTCATAATAAATCAAAGATGAAATCCATGAAAATCTTACCTTCACGGAATTGAGCTTATTGATCCTAGGTCTGAAATTGTTAGGATCACGTCGAAATGTGATGTTCAGCGTTTCAAGGAACTTGTTCATTCCGAACAGCAAGGAATGAGGCTCAGTCGCACGAGTTTTTGTCGAAGGCGTGCCTTCAAACACGATGACTCGGTCAGCCAAATACGTTGCCATGATGAAATCGTGCTCCACCACGAATCCTGTCTTTTTCGCGTGTAGAATAAATCTGTCAAAAAATGTTGATCAATTTTACGTGAGTTTATCACATCGTCTTGGATGAGGAATGCAAACATTTTAATTCATTGCAGAACAATCAGAAGAGGGCGACAATCCAGCGATCTTCCGGTCTCGCCCTTTTCATGATTTTTCGGTATGAAATTGGTATAAGAAGTTTTCATTTTCCCCAAAACATGATAGGTTATCCATTTTCTATTCGTAGTTTCAGACGAAAAAAAAAACAACCGATTCAATTGGAAATCCAATCCACAAGAACGTCTTCATGAAATCAAGATAGCGTTGAAAATAACCAGGACTGAATTGAAACTTGCGAAAACTGACTTGACGTTTTGAAAGTACAAAATCGTCTTGAAATATGATTTACTTTGATAGCTCAACGACAAGATATCAATTTGATCAAAAATCGAAAAAGGAATCTCAACTCACCTTTTGATGACTTTGGCAGCAACGAGACGCTGTTCAGAATCCAAGTAGGCAGACGGCTCGTCGATCAAGTAAACATCAGCAGGTTTACCCAGGCAAAGCGTCAAGGCAACACGCTGCAATTCTCCTCCGGACAAATTCTGCACTTCCTGGTCAATAATATCATCAATTTTCAGCGGTTTCACGACATCCGTGGTGAACTGCGGGTGAATATAAGCATCCCGAATCTTGTCATGAAGCAGCATTCGAACAGTGCCCTGACTCTTCGGACTGATTTTCTGCGGCTTGTAACTGATGTGCAATTGCGGAATGTCCGCCGTGGCGCCGTCGGGTTCGAGTCGACCTGCCAACATCCTGATGAACGTCGTTTTCCCAGTGCCGTTTTCTCCAAGCATCACGAGGATCTCCGAATCCGTGAAGGTGCCTGAATCGACTTCGAGGCAAAAATTGCCCAGGGTTTTCGTCATATCAGGGTACGAGAAACGACACATTCGCTTGATTTCTTCCTCTGTGGCAGATTCAGCAACGCGAAAAACCAACGATTCGTCACGGAAGCGCAAGTTTTCGGTGGGAACATAGCCATCGAGAAACACGTTGATTCCTGAAAATATTACAGAAGTGAAAAACGGCGAAGAATCCAAGTGAAAGAAAGTCCAAACTGAATTCTGCTTGCGTCTGTCATTGATTGTCTTGGTGTTTTTTCTAGAACTCGATAAAACTAATGTAATAAGCACTGTGGCTTTCTTCACGAGATTTGAGAAACGACACGGTACAAGGTGAGCAAAAACGTGTTCAAGAATTATATTTAAACATTTCCTTACCTCAAATTGAAGAACAAGTTTTAGTTTAATTTCAGTAAAATCAACCTGGCAAGCAATTACTGTATATGACTACCCCATCACATTAAAAACGTACACTCGGAGAAAAAGTTTCATTCACATTCGAAACTAACCCTGTCAATTTTCTGTATTCAGTTCAAAACATACCTTAAATTAGTGGTGCCCAATATACAGCCCGCGGGCCAGATCTGGCCCGCGGAAGCCTTCAAACTGGCCCACAGACCATCCCAAAAAACTGCCAATGCATTGAGCGTACACTTAGCTGTGCAATTTATTTGTGATGAACTTAGTTTTGGGGTGTTATTTCTTTAAAATTTTTATAATTACTGTACGTGATTTTTTTGTGCTGGGAAATAGGGAGCAAATATAAGGAAAAATGCACTCAGAAAGAAAAGTATGAGTTGAATTGCAGCTCTTCCTCCAGAGCAAAACTTTAAAATGGAATTTTTCTTTTGCAAAAATTTACTGAGCACAAATAGGGATTGAGCACTATCAGATAAATGGAAAATGCTGAGGGATTCACGGGTAAACAATTATCTTCTGGTCAAAGAAAATAATTTTTTTTTATTTCTCAACAAAGGTTTGAATAAAAAATGGCTGAAAGCAGTGAAACACTAGAAAAATTGACAATGAAGACAGTGTTTAATGCAGAATGGATAAAACAAACATTTCTTCACAATCTTCAATGTCAAAATACTTTGCCTTGTCTGTCAGGAAAATTTTTCAGCTTCCAAGAAATACAATCTTTGCTGACATTTTGACTGCAAAAACGAAGACTTGAGAAGTTTAAATTACTCAGAGAGAAAACAGATAATGTCAAGCTTGCTGAAAAAAATCAAGGGATGTTGGATTTTTTTTTCAATTCAAAGGAGTCTAATATTTTGAAAATTGTAGAGGAGTTAAATCATTCCCACCATTTTGGCCCACTTAGAAGGCTTGGTTTTTAATGTGGTCTTGACCACTTTGGAGTTGGGCAATACTGCCTTAAATTCATCAAAAGCTGGAAATCCTCAGAAATTCAATAATACCGTAACGTAAACACTTACCTTAAGAACACTGTAAAAGTCAAATTAACCATGCTAATATAAATCATGTTCTTTCAAAATCAATGCAAAATAGAAGGGTGCTAACATTAATTCAAGTTTCGCGAACCCACTTCTCCAGAAATTATTCCCTTTCATTGCCAACATGGACGCTCGCCAATTTTTCCCTATTTATACACTAGGGGGTATGATAGACGGAAATCACTGATCATACACTTTTTTTTATTAGAATATGTCAGTAGAATTGTGTGTAACGACGAAATCCATGCAGGACTAAACAAAGACTTTACCTTCGCGGACTGAGAACGGCATGGTCACGACACCGTAGCATCCAGGAAGTCCATACAAACAGCAAATAAAATCCGAAAGGTAATCCAGAACTGAAAGGTCGTGCTCCACAACGATGATGAAATTCTGCGGTTGAATTAGCGACCTGATGGTTTGCGCAGCTTTCAGACGTTGTTTTACGTCCAAGTAGGAAGAAGGCTCATCGAACATGTATATGTCGCCTCTCTGAATGCAGACAATCGCGATGGCGAATCGTTGAAGTTCTCCGCCGCTCAAGTCTTCGACGTTCCGGTCTTGCACGTTATTCAGGTCCAACATAGTGCTGATCACTTTGCTATTTTCCTTTTCATCCTTCTTTTCCATTCTGTCCTTCACCAAGCCTTTAATTGCTCGAGGAATTTGGTCGACATATTGAGGCTTGATGATTGCCTTCAAATCGTCTTCTAAAATTTTTGTGAAATAATTCTGAAGCTCCGATCCTCGGAAATGCGCTAAAATTTCGGTCCAATCGGGGGGATTCTAAAAATAATTAAACTTCAACATGCGCGATCTCACGTTTACGCTTTCAATAATGTACTAACCGTAAACTTTCCAAGATTTGGTTTAGTCTTCCCCGCCAAAATTTTCAATGCTGTCGATTTTCCGATTCCATTAGTTCCAACCAGACCCAATACCTCTCCAGGCCGAGGGACAGGCAAACGATGCAACTTGAATGAATTTTTCGAGTACCGATGAGTAGTGTTCGCTTCCAAATTACTCGGAAGGTTGATGATCGATATAGCATTAAATGGGCATTTCTGAAAATAAACATAAGCTTTAGAATTCTGTATTGCACATGTTCAATAATTTCGAAATCAATTCTCACCTTCACACAAATACCACAACCGATGCACAATTCTTCAGAGATTGAAGCGATCTTATCGCTCGGAGTAACCTCAATGCAGAGTTTACCCATTCGAACAACTGGGCACGATTTTCGGCATTCTTGCCTGCACCGTTTTGGCTTACACTTGTCCGAATTGACGATTGCAACACGGGTAAGAGACTCTTTCTCTTCTGCCTCACGTGGCCGAGGCATATTTCAAGAATAATTGGCTCTGAAAAACATGACTTATTTTCAATAAAATTCTCACTGATCCATCGCGATCTCAACTGCAAGCAATTTCTTGCAACTTTCTCAAAAAATTCAACTTCACGATATTACCGCACACGCAGTCCACCTCGACATACTAGGGTTTTGAATAAAATAATTAGGACTTTAACGACGAAGTTCATTTTCTTTTTCCGACGACTAGGTCACACCATCACTTCCTCATTACTTCGAGCGGACCGTGTCAACCCGATTCACTGCTTCAGTAGGAATGGCTGTGATTTTTTCCTTCCACGGCTACCCATCCAAATCCCCCACCCCACGCCTGGCTCCCAGGTACAGTACAGTATTGCTTAGGAAAAACGAGCAAAATGAAAACGTTTTCCAGAACTTTGGTTAGGTGTCGCTCGGTACTACAACAATGATTATAAAAAACGAGTCAACAAAGCTACTTAAGCTATGATCCAAATATGGGATTTATCAATGAGTGAAGAGCTATCTGCTGGCATGTTTTTCAGTATAGAAAATCTGTTCGCAGAGAATTGTTGCTCACAACAAATTTGTTTTTTATGGTCCCTGTCCAAAATAGTTATGCAAATTTGATTTGGTTTCAACAAATTCATGTTAGCTTTTTTTTAAGTCCCACATGTTCTGCTGTAAAAATATTATATGTAAAATATTCTACACATCGATATTTCTGTAACCTAAAGTTGACACAAGAATTCAAATACTTCTGGTTACTCTATCCAAACGTTGTTGTGGATTTTATGATGCTGCTACGCACACTGTGATTTAAAAACTTGAATTCGTGAAAATTTTCCCTAAGTAACAATGCAAATTACACTTCTCGGATCAAAGCAATAGGGTTCTCTGAAATCCTGCATAAATATGCCTGTGAAACATGAATAATTACGTAAAGAGGCTAATGCTAACAAAAGGTGCATAATGGTAAGGTATCGAGGCATCTGTTCCGATGAAAATCTGTAATTTTGAAAAGAAACACGCAAGGTTTTTTTCAAAATTTTGTTCAACATTTATTCAAAAAACACATCCGCTGTTACATCGAGTAACGTACAGGTAGAACGCTTACCTCTTTTATTCCACATTCACCATGCAACGAGGAATTAAAGCTTACGGCTTCAACAGAGAACAAAACATTTTGCTCGAATCTCCTCTCGAAAGTCTACATCTTCGATTCAAGAAAAAGCTAGCAGTTTGTACCAAACCATGCTAAGGAACGAAAATTTTCTGCGAAAGTCTAACAAAAATCCAAATATCTCAAGTTAAAAGTCCTTCCCCGCGCGAGCGGAAGTTTGTCTCGAATTAAAAATACCTCGAAAAGAAAAACATCGCTTACAGACGAATTTTCTATTCACAACGGATCCTAATCCGAATCTTCTTCGGAGTCTTCTTCCTCAGATTTTTCTTCTTCCTCTGACGATGACACTTTCCTTCCACGCTTTCTACCAACAGGCTTTTTCTTCACCGGTTCCGAAGCGATGATTCGCGTGGATATTTTCAGCTTGGGGACAAGTTTTACCTCCTCAATCTCGGGTTCTTCATCTTTCACGTCCTCGTCTTCCTCTTCGAGTTTGCTCTCATTTACAGCCCCTTCTGTGGTCATGACGTTTTTGAGGCTCACGACCGCAGCATTCGGAATAATTGAACCTGTAAGATGAAAATTTGCTGGTCAAAAAATTGACTCCACTTATCAGAGAATATAATTCAGATTGTTCTAATAAATGTCGTACTTTTACAATTATTGACACCTGTTTTTTTTTTCAAAGACCAGCGGAAATGGAGGTCATATTCAGAGAGAAAAAAATCACCAACCGATTATTTTTGTGCTTTCGTCCAACTTGAGTCGGACAACTTGCATACGCTGCTCTCGCAAGTGATGAGCCCGCATGACGTTCTCCAAATGGTGCCAAATGTTGAGCACGGCACCACTTAAAATGTGATATACCCTTGTTCGAAGCCCGATGTCACACGATCCTGGGGAAAGCATGGAACGCTTGCATGTCCCAGTCCTGCGAAAAAAAGAAGAAACAATTAACCACCCTTCGTTCGTCATGTACATTCAAGTTCACAAAACTGAAATATGTTAGCAATTCTACACTTCATCGGAAAATCGTAAGTTACAAAGAATAACTCAAAAAAGCCTCAATTCTGAGGAGTACCATTTCCAGCTCAAAAATTAGAAAGGTTCTTTAGGGACTTTTCCTCATTCGAATACTTGAATCGGTTCATCAGAGTAAGTGCTGCCTTATACTGTACTATGATCAGCATTTTCGGTGCAGAAGTCAGGTTGGTTTACGTATGATGGGATAGTCATATATCCTAGGTTAGGTACGTTTTAAATCAGATATTCGGTTAGATATATCAGGCATTATATTTGGGAAGTTAATTATTAGGTTCGGCTACTTAGGTTTTCTGTTCAGTTATTGAAACTGTACGGTCTTCGATTAGTTTGATCCAAGGTTTGGTTACTTATGTGGTAGGTAAGGTCAGTTGGGCGCACGACTCAATGAACTATAATGCCATTCTTGGAACAAAAGCGCACCGAAAAAAAGAGAGGTTCACAAAATTTAATTCTTGATTTTTACTCCTAAAAAAATCGTCTTCGAACCAAAGTTTCTTGCAAAACAAGCTTTGCTATAAACAGAAAAATTAAAGAAAATGTGTCTCACATGCAGAGATGTGAGCACATTGTTGCGGATGAATCGAACTGCTGCTCCCAAGCCTCCTGAACTTTGCCCAAGTCAGTGCACTTCTTGTAAGTCGTGGTCAATTCGCTGAGCGGTTGCGTTCGCGGCTGACGTCCCAAGTTCGGTTTATACACTATGTAACTCCGATCCCCAGCATCTTTCTTCCCAGGTATAGACAGCGAGGAATCCACAATCAAAATCGCCCATTTCTTCCCTTGCCTCAACTGCGGAATAAGAAAAAATCGAGAAAAAGGTTTGAGTCTTCGCCATAATTAAAAAGAGGATTCAAATAACTTACATCTCTGGTGAGGTAAAAGCCTTCGACTGAGTTATCCAAGTCAGCCGCTTTTCGCTTCGCTTCTTCCCAACTCATTCCTCTTTCAACCTGCACTTTATGGAGGAGAACCGAAGCTGTCCCAGTTCCGTGTTTTATCATCCACTTGTCCACATTCAGGACTTTCAGCCGGTCTTCCGAACCACCAAGATCTACAAAAACCATAAATGAATACCTCAAACAGTCCCAACAGCTGAAATCCTTGAACAAAAAATAAATTATCAAATCCGAACTGTAATTACCAAGAATGCCGAGGTCGTAGCGTCCAGCTTTCTTCGCATGATCAATATGGGCCTTCAAGGTATCCATAAAATACTGGAACAAATCGTTTTGTAGCTTCACAGGGAGCCCGAGAATTCTATTCAAAAACTTGGACATGTTCGTGCAATCTTTCTCCATGACTGGTACTCCGTATTCGCTTGTGATCATTCCTACTCCTATCAAACCGGCTTGCACATCTGAAAAAGAATGGGGTGTATAGTATTTCGCGGAAGTGGTCACGTTAACAATAATAGGAACACCGAACACGACAAGGTAAATGATGACGAATTGCTGAAAACTTTAACGCTGAATGAAATATATCGATGAATAAATAAATTTCCAAACCTTAGAGTAAGAATTTAATAGTTCAAAAACTCAAGCTTTCAATACTCCTACAGTATTTTGAACAAATGAATATACTGAAAGTACGTCTTCCTCTCCATAACCCTTACCAAATCCATTTACAACATTAAAGACGATCCATGCCATCAAAATATCTTGGAAGGATCCGTTCCGAAAATAATCTCGAAGTAATGGAAGAAAAAAACTCCAGAATAAAATAAGAGCGGCCCTGTCACAAAAACGAAATCACTCGAAAGAAAATTCATACGAGACTAGGAAAAAATGGTCAATTTCTAAAGAATACATTCCAAACCAAATTATAGTATTAGGAAATCAGAGAGAAGGAATATTTTTTCAAAATTTTAGAACTGATTTTTTGTTTGTAAACATACCTTTCAAGAATCCTAGGTAGGGCTCTTTCACTAGACCCAGCTGCTGACCCATGACTGTCCTCATGACGGTTTCCAAAGCCTGTCGCCCATATTTGTTATCAATATTGAACTGGGATAAGTCGCGCGACTCAGTCGCTCTCCGATCACCGTGCGTCAGCGCGCCTAAACTTTCCAGTCGCTTCGCAACTACAGACGCAAATCTTCGCTCACCGGCCAATTCCGAAATCAAGAAAATATACTCGGGAGCATTTGCTTGATTACTGCGGTGAGTTCTCCCTGAAAAAAGAAATAAAAAATTGAACATTCAAACCGAACATTCAATATAAGGCAACTCAGTTCCAAGAAGATCTATGGGGACGAATAAACGCGGCAAAAGTTTCGGACACATTTTCGAAAAACGTAAGTTTAGCTTGTTCAGAATTTAACAGCAGATTCCCACAATTTGCACTACATAAAACAACAAAAATTAAAAAATGTCCCAATACATATTAAAAAAATACATCGATCTTCTATTACAATTATTGTTGAGGGAAAAAACGAACGGCAAAATTTTGCGAATTTCTCCTTGAATGAACGATTTAATTCATACGATTTTTCCGAATTCAGTAAATTTCAGCTGATCAAATAATTAAGCGGATAAAACTAAATTTTTCAAGGGGGACAAGCATTGAACTAGGGAGGTTCACAGAGTTTCTTGACGCGTAAAAAGATAATTTGAGTATTTGAAGACGGCTTATAACATAGTAACTGAAGTTTGGTTAAATAAAAAATAAAAACTGCAGAACAGGTGGACTCTTTCCACAACGAAATTCCAGGATTTGAAAAATTCGATGCAAAGAACCCCTACAACATGGGAAAGATTCTTGTGGAACCATAAGAAAAAAAATCGTTCTGCGAAGAAAATCGTTGTAGAGAGAGTCCACCTGTATTTAAAAAATCGACGGACTTCGCATTACACGTACCGAATTGCTGAATAGCTCTGTCGGCACTCCATGGGAGTTCAAGTGTAATATGAACCCGTCGTCGCTGGTTTTTGACACGTCGGTCGCTTTGTAGCGAAATGCCAGAAGAAGCAGCTTCAGAGATAATGGCAACATCTTTATCGCCGTTCATGAACCTTTCCTTCTCTTTCAGATTCAGCTGCTCCAAGGGAACTTCCTCGTCGGCTGCACGATGCTCGTATCGAACGCCCGTTCCTTCCGTCACCATTCTGCCTTTCCTACCAGTCATCTGCAATATTTACAGATCAGTATCCTGTTAGCATCAACCTTTTTTTTTCTCGAGACTACAACCCTTTCGAGACCTGACAGGATTTGTATTTGAACTCCTGAATACTGTTCGTGGGCTCAACTTGAATTATGGAAACACTGGTTCGCAATTACGAAGAGATCATATTCTAAACTCGGATTCCATGCAAATGAGGTTTCAGAGTTCTTTGCTCAAACTCTTTGCTTTGACTTCTTTAAAAAATTTACGAATAAGCTACGAAAGTCTTGCATGAGCAGGTACCCATATAATGCCGATACAAAATTTTTTTCCGCTGTACCATTTGGCAGTATTTATCCTTCAAGAATTGAGATTTCAATCGGAAAATGGCCTATATTTTTCATCTTGGACAAAATCTTTTTTGTATACCTCAGCTACGTTTTCCGGTCCTCCGAGTTCGTCAATAAGCTGGTCGAGAGTGTTTGGTGGTAAACGTCCCGCCAACGCATCAACTTTTTTCAAAAGCTCATCCTTGATTTCACACGCACGATTGACGGCGGCAGACGAAGGTGCGCTTTTATGAACTCCGCTGTTGATGCCATTTTTCCCCGGTCTTCCCCGTTTCTTCGGCATTTTCTTTCTTCCGTAATTATCTTTCGGAATGAAAAAATGAGGCAATTACTTCACGGAACAGCGAAAGGTTATCAAGTTGGACTATGAGGTCGCGATTCCCAAGAGTTGTACATAATGGACAAAATCTTCAAACTGATTCATCAAAAACTTTCTTCTGCCCAAAGGTTTGGATTTTACATACATTATTTTTGTGCACTTTAAAATTTTAGAAGAAAACGCCCAGAAATTTGTTCAAATTCAAAGTCAACAAAGAAAATGTGACAGCGAATTTTGGTTGAAACGAAGAATATAGAAGATGTAATTTTGAGACAAAACAATCTATTCGACAAACTTGTACCTCCATCATCGTCGTCATCGGAAATCATTTCAACGGAATCCTCAGATTCTTCTTCATCCTCTTCGGCATCGTTCTCCACGTCGGAACCATGTTTGTCAGAGGCGTCATCGTGCATTTCGAAATCCGAATCGTCGCTGTTGTCAGAATGAGCCGAAGAAGAGTCATCATCATCAGACTCAATCTTCATCCTCTTGCGTTTGTTCCGTTGCGTTGCTTGAGCTGCGGCTCGTCTGGGCTTTCCTGATCCAGAACCGGATGCTTCCGGCTTTCATTTTATGAATTAAAGAGACGAAAACGCATCAATTAGTTTCATTGGACTTATCTCAGATAATTCACTAGAGTTTCGCAGGGGTTGCATAGCACTTTGAGGTACCAAGCAATACCCGTGGATTTTTACACTCCAGTCGGAAAAGCTGGCTATCTACTCGAACTTGCATTTCATCTACTCGATTCATTTTCTTCTACACTGTAATAAAATTTGAATTGAAAAAATTGGAGACCATCTTGGATTGGTAGGTGAAAAACATAGCTGACTCAAATCAACAAAATCTTTATAACTGTGGCCTAGAAAGCAATAAAACAGGTCATTACACCATTTAAAGTTACGGGCCAGATGAAATTAGAGCACTGAAACATCAAAAATGATGCCGAAAATTGATTTGAAAGAACTTAATATTGCGACTTATTTTCGCAGGACTGACGCATCCGAATTTAATAGGAAATGTAGTGAAAAATAAGCACCCGAGAATGATGGACACAATCTGAGTTGATCATACAAACTTGTCTTCTTTTGAAACAAATAAAGTGACATTCGCGTTCACTTCCAGCCATTTGAAACCACCAGGAAAGCCACGTTTCAAACGCGTGGAATGAAATTTGAATTACCTCGTTTTTCTTCGTAGTTATGCCAAGCAAACGAGCGATCCTGTTACGATCAGGAGCCGGGAAATGCTTCTCAACAAGAGTTGAGAATACGGCTCTGATGAAAAATGATGGTAGTATAAGAAAAAATTCAGAAAAAACGAAAATGGGAGGGGGGGGCTCACTTTGCAGTTGACACGAATTCAGTGAGAGTATCCTCTTTCTCCAAAGCCTCCAAAGTTCGGGCTTCACCAGTGCTTTGCAAGCCAATTACCACACATTTACCCATCTTGATAGCTTCTCTGAAAACACGACGAAAAATAGACGTAGTATGAGGATTCGAAGTATAAATCATGCATTTCCAACCAAGTGCTTACCGTGCCAGATCAACAGTGAAAGAAACTTTAGAACCAATGCAGAGGTACTTGAAAAACCTTTGATGCGAACCCCAAAACTGACCCCACATGGTCTTCTTCATTGATTTGTCGGCGTCGATCAAACACGCAGCTTCTTCGAATTTTTCCCGAGCAAAGACCCACTATGAAATTTGAGATTCATACATTGTGCAAGAAACAACAGAACACGAAAAGCGGAGATCTTACCAAATTGACAGCTTCGTTATACACTTCAATAAATTTCTTCGAAAGCTCGACGTTTTCAATTCGGAATGTGACGCCATGGAAGCTCAATTGGCGTGCAATATAAGTCCCACGAAGCTTCATATCCATAGCCACAATTTCCATCGCACCAATACCTCTGAAAAAAGCGAAAATTTCCGTCAAACACCTGAAGAAAATTTCCATCAAATAATCCACATTTTCCACTTACGGAATAAATTATAGTGTACATTACTGTTTCAGATAAAACATCTTGAAAATTGCATCCAGAATAATTTATAATTTTCCTGATCTAGCAATACTATTTCGTTTCAACACTTATTTAAAGTAATGCTGAAAAGAGAAGCAGCTTGATTTCACCGCAGGAATTATACTGTATATTCAAATAAAAAGTTACTCCGCGGGGAGAAATTTATACTGCGTTCAAGTTCCTAATTCGGTATCTTGACGTTAAATGACATATACTGTATTTTCACTCCAGATACATTTCAAAATACAGTATCTCTTTAGAACAAACAACAAGAATGGTTGCATAACTTATTTTAAACCTTATGCAGATCAACTTTTTCGACGCCGAAAAAAATTGACGCGTAGTCTCAGGCGTTAGATACGCACATTATCTGAAGTGGTGAACAATGTAACATTTTACACATTCCGAAGAGAAAGTAGGATTCGTGATTCACTCAAAAGACCCCTTACGACCTAATAAAGCAGAGACTAACCTTTTCTCAACAGACGAAATGAATTCTCCGCATTGTTTAAATGGAGTTCCACCACCCCACAGACCAAGTCGAACCATGTAAGCCATGTTTTTTGGCTCAGACGCTCCAGTTGCGGAAGCGTAAACAACTCTAGCATTCTTCAGAGTCTCCTGCAACTTCAGCACCGTTTGTCCCGTCTTCGTTGGCTTTGCTGAGCCAACAGGAACGAGGTTCTTCGCCCTATGACACTCATCAAATACAATCTGAAGGACAAACTTTAGTTAAGGATTCCAACCGGAATGATGCAGAACACTCTAGGGACTATAAGCTATTCAAGAGGAATAAAAAATTTAAGATGCCCACTAGAATTTCTCGTAAAAGAAATAATGGGTTTGTTTGAAAAGGATACCACACCATCACAATCTTTCCCAAACCAGTCGACAATTTGCTTGAATCTCGAGTTGAATTTCCCGCTGCTTTGAGATTCACCGATTAGAGACGAATAAGTCGAGTACAAAACGCCTTCACGGAAGAATCCGTTGTCCTTCCCGTTAATTTTGGCGTATTTCATCTAGAATAAATAGTAAATATAATTTGTTAAAAAATTAATTTTCCACAAATTGTTTACGAGGACGAACTTTGCTAAGGTTAGAAACTGGAATGTTCGCAGCGCCGATGTCCTTGAGATCACGTTCAGAATCGTATTTCAGGTCAGACGAAACCGAAACCCACAACGCCTTCTTCCTTCCATTGATCCAATTTTCGAAGATTATACCGGCGATAGTTCGACCTTTTCCGACACCGGCACCATCACCTGTAGCAATGCGAACACATCATTAGAAAAAAATTTTCTTGCGGAAGCACACAAATTCATATTGAAGACAATCACCAATGAGAAATCCAGCACGGCATCCATCGGAAAGATATTTTTCGTGCTGTTGCGTAGAATATACAACAGCCTCCAGTTGCAAGGCAGAGAGAAGTCCATTTTCAATTAATTTTTCCGGTAGATGCAGGTTATACCAAATATCTGAAGGCTCAACACTTGACAATGATGCAGTTTCAACGATATGATCTGGATGCTTCTTTCCAATTTTCACTGAAAAAAAGAAATAGGGCATACAGCCATCACACTACCAAAGTAAATTCGATTCACCTTTATAAAATATTCAACATACATTTCCGTGGCATGTAATCGGAAAACGTGTCTTGTAGACCCAACTCTTCTTCTCCGGCGTCATCTTCAGTTTCGTCCATCTCTGGACCAGCCATCGGAGGCCTCAGCATGCCCTATTATCAATTCATGAAGGACGGACGGTTCAACGCAATGGAATGGGCACTCAAGTCTTACCATAGAATAATTTGGGAATGGCTGTTGGAATCCGTTCATCATAGGCATACCCTGCATCAATCCACCCATCATTTGCAGAGGCATCATTGGCGGTTGGGGAGGAAGTCCAACTCCCATTCCTAGAAAATAAGATACTCTCTGTTTGTAGCTACATTAACGAAAAAATCGATCTCACTTACCTTGCAGCTGCGACACGAACGGGCTATTTGGGTTGAACCCAAATCTCTGCTGCATACCCAATAAGTTCTTCAGGATTTCGATGCTCGACGGATCCATAGCGTTATTCTGATTCGGCTGCATTTGAGCTACATAAAACGTAATTCAAAATTATAAAATTCACTACTTTAAAAGCATCTGTGGAGCATACGTCGAATGAATGAAGGATCGGGTAGACGCGGCAGCATTTTAGGAGCGGGTGCGGGGTTGGGGTTGACGTTTTCCAGTACTTGTACTTCGGAATCGGAACTCCGCCTGAATGAGGTAAATCATCATTTCAATACTTCAAACGATCACGGAAGAAATAGAAGTACCTTTGGAGGTCACTAAGCGAGACTCCCCCTCCGGGAACACTCTCGTCATCGGGGTCGAAATCTTCTGAGTCCGAACTATCATCTGACACCGTCTTCGAAATAATAAACGATTTAATTTCACTTCCAAAATATCATATCTCACATAACATTCTTACCACGACAACGGGGGGTTTCTTAACCCGCGGCATGATGCTGCGGAATGGATCACTACAATCCAAAGCACCTTTTCACACAACTCGTCCTTCGAAGTTCAAAAAATTATCAACATAGAATACGAATGAATGATTTTCCACACGTTAACAATCACGGATGAAATAATGCCACACTGTTGTGCTTCACATCCTCTGATATTCGAGCTTCGAACATCTCAGATTTCCACAGTAGTACCGACAACGGTGACATATGAAATTCCAAGAGGATTCCGCGAACGGCTAATATACCGGCGACAGGCCGCCATCTTAGATATTGTATCGAACGCTGGGGATCCCCTGGCTGGATTTTTCTGAACTCGCGGGAATTTTTCCACGCTGGGTCCATCCGCCGCACGATGGGTTGCCAGGAAAGGTTATTGTGCTTCGCCAGGGCCTCCTTTGCCTTTCACTATGAAAAGCTCAACTTTCAGCAAGGACTAAATGATGATGATATACTGTGTATTTTTTTAATTGAGAAAAGAATAGATCATATTTATAAATTCGTTAACTTGCATTTGCTTGCAGAAAGTAAAAGCACATGACCTGCTGGCCATTTTTGAATACATACAATGCACAGCAATGGATACTCAGGTGACAGCGCCCCTGATGGGGGTAGAGCGAATAACTTGCCTGGGATGTAGTCATTCTCATTCGATGAGTAATGTAGGGCGCTAAATAGGTTGGTCCGCACTTCTGAGTGCATTTGAGTCTTGGTGGTGGAAAACCGTGACGTAGCGAGTATATACGATAGGGATTGAACTCAAACGTAGTGATCAGTATTAACTGACCAGCTTGAACCTAAGCAGTGTTATTCTATCGCGTAATTTATGTCCTGTGCTAGCTTATCATAATCGAAATGGCTATCCGACCGATCATTCTGAGGGTATAATGCACCTTAAACTGTGAAATTCGTTATTCAGCAGAACTTCTGATCCAACTTGAGTTTCGATTTCTGACGTTCTCAATTATGCCGCGCGCTGCTGCTGCTGCTGCCCAGCAAAAAATTTGAGCATTCATGAACCCATTAGAAACCCATTCAAAAAAAGTGTATCCTGCCCATTCAGAAAACGGTCTTACAAGAATCTCTGAACTAGTTAGCTGGGCATTCAACTAATGCCTGAATGAACGCCCCTAATAACCATTCAACAAATGTAAGTACCTTTGGAGGTCACTAAGCGAGACTCCCCCTCCGGGAACACTCTCGTCATCGGGGTCGAAATCTTCTGAGTCCGAACTATCATCTGACACCGTCTTCGAAATAATAAACGATTTAATTTCACATCCAAAATATCATATCTCACATAACATTCTTACCACGACAACGGGGGGTTTCTTAACCCGCGGCATGATGCTGCGGAATGGATCACCACAATCCAAAGCACCTTTTCACACAACTCGTCCTTCGAAGTTCAAAAATTTATCAACATAGAATACGAATGAATGATTTTCCACTCGTTAACAATCACGGATGAAATAATGCCACACTGTTGTGCTTCACATCCTCTGATATTCGAGCTTCGAACATCTCTAATTTCCATAGTAGTACCGACAACGGAGACATATGAAATTCCAAGAGGATTCCGCGAACGGCTAATATACCGGCGACAGGCCGCCATCTTAGATATTGTATCGAACGCTGGGGATCCCCTGGCTGGATTTTTCTGAACTCGCGGGAATTTTTCCACGCTGGGTCCATCCGCCGCACGATGGGTAGCCAGTAAAGGTTATTGTGCTTCGCCAGGGCCTCCTTTGCCTTTCAATATGAAAAGCTCAACATTCAGCAAGGACTAAATGATAATGATATACAGTATTGTGTATTTTTTTAATTGAGAAAAGATTAAATCATATTTATAAATTCGTAAACTTGTATTTGCTTGCAGAAAGTAAAAGCACATGACCTGCTGGCCATTTTTTAATACATACAATGCACAGCAATGAGGATACTCAGGTGAAAGCGCCCCTGATGGTGGTAGAGCGAATAACTTGCCTGGGATGTAGTCATTCTCATTCGATGAGTAATGTAGGGGGTCAAATAGGTTGGTCCGCACTTCTGAGTCGTAAACTCAGAACCACCACCTTTTGGCACTGCATCGCTCATATATGCTATCCCTAACTTGAGTTTGCATCACTAGTCATAATTGACTGGTCGAACTTGGATTCGTCACAATAAGATAGCGCATTAAAATGTCCTGTGCTAGCTTATCATAATCGAAATGGCTATCCGACCGATCATTCTGAGTGTATAATGCACTTTAAACTGTGAAATTCGTTATTCAGCAGAACTTCTGATCCAACTTGAGTTTCGATTTCTGACGTTCTCAAATATGCCGCGCGCTGCTGCTGCTGGTCATGCCGATAAGCCGAAAGGTCGAACGACCGCGTATGCCTTTTTCATGAAGCTGATGAGCGAAGAGCAACGAAAGAAGAATCAGAGCGTAGCATTCACGGAACTTACGAAAATGTGCTCTGAGCGATGGAAGGTAATCATTGGTTGAGCACGCTTCATTTCCGAAGCTGTCAATCCGCTATATACGCTGTATATCATTATGGTTGTTACGTATGTGTATATGTATGTATAGAACATGTCCGAAAGCGAAAAACACAAATTTCAAGTGATGGCCAATGAGGATAAAGTGAGATACGATAATGAGATGATGGGCTACGTCCCAGGACCCACGGACACGAAAACATCGTCGAAGAGGAAGAAGAAAGATCCGAATGCTCCGAAGCGTGCTATGTTAGTACGTAATGCTGCTGGGTTTGTGCTTGAAATTTAAAGCTTCCATTATTAGGTCGGCATTCTTTTGGTTCAGCCATGACGAACGCGCGAAAATTAAGGTATCGAATCCTGGACGATTGGCTGAACGGCTACAAAGGTTCCTTGAGCCTGCGGCAACCCGCGTTCAAAGACGACGACTATTTGTAGTGATGGTCTTTAACCGCCTATTCCTGTTCGAAGCAATACTTTTCCACTATGCGTAAAAGTCACAACATTATATCGTATCCGCCCATATATATATTTGCCGATCATTCAATTTGTATGCCTAGAACTTTTCCTGACCATATTGAATGAATTTAACGGAATATCGGTTATTCCCGAGGCTCATAATAAACATTTCAATACTTCATGTACATGCGCTGTAACGCCATTTAAAATATTTATAGTTCCGTATATTATACTGTTGACAGTATATATCCGAGTTTACTTGCTTATACAGTACTTTCTTTACCAGCCGAATAAAGGTACAGTATTATATTTGCGGCACAAGTCACAGCAGGAGGCATCAGCATCCATGAGGCATGCACCAAGAAAAGGATTATTTTTAGTGGCGTGGAGTCGATCTTGAGTGCCTGTTATTAATGGGAATTCAAACCCAATAACTATTTCGATATAATCCCAGTGGTGATAAGTTTTCGGATTGTTGAAGATTCTACTGAATAGTAATTTTTGAAGATCTTGGAAATAAGCAAGACGAAATTTCAATTGAATCTCCGAATATTTTCTTACGATGAGTTTCAACTAGATCTATGTATGTTCACCATTTCTGAAAGAAAATAAATCCCAGCGCCGCTTTTACGCAAAAGTTGAGACGATGCGTTAAAATTAGTGGGATTCAGATGCGCATACCTGTATTTATTTGCAGAGCGTCGTCTTCTATTTAATCTTAAGCACATTGTATACTTGTGACAGGGACTTGCGTATCTACAAAGGGTGGGGAAAAGAGGTGACTGTTATTTCAAAAAATAGTAAAATCATAAACAGGTGAGGCATTGTACATTTTTCTGAAAAATTGGATGAGCTTCTGATCTGACATTATTTCAATGAGTATCGTTGAATGACCAGAATTTCTAAAATTTTCCAAGATGTACGTAGGTATTATTCTCTGTAAACTCATAGTTGGCGTATATTGTCGATTAATCATCCTGTCCTGTACTTCCCACGACGCAACTCCGGATGATTTGAGCGTTTATTATTCAGTTTTAATTCCTATGATGGAAATAATGTTCATGCCAACATGGGAGCTCAAAGTTTGATTCTCTGTAGCAGAAAATTTGATCCTCCGTAATTAGTATTTATCTTTTTGGATCGGAGCAGGGTGTGTTCATACTGAGTTTGGCTGTCTTTTCAGGAAATGGCGGCGTATCGTGCCAAAATCAAAGCTACCAATCATGANATTTCCATAGTAGTACCGACAACGGTGACATATGAAATTCCAAGAGGATTCCGCGAACGGCTAATATACCGGCGACAGGCCGCCATCTTAGATATTGTATCGAACGCTGGGGATCCCCTGGCTGGATTTTTCTGAACTCGCGGGAATTTTTCCACGCTGGGTCCATCCGCCGCACGATGGGTAGCCAGTAAAGGTTATTGTGCTTCGCCAGGGCCTCCTTTGCCTTTCAATATGAAAAGCTCAACATTCAGCAAGGACTAAATGATAATGATATACAGTATTGTGTATTTTTTTAATTGAGAAAAGATTAAATCATATTTATAAATTCGTAAACTTGTATTTGCTTGCAGAAAGTAAAAGCACATGACCTGCTGGCCATTTTTTAATACATACAATGCACAGCAATGAGGATACTCAGGTGAAAGCGCCCCTGATGGTGGTAGAGCGAATAACTTGCCTGGGATGTAGTCATTCTCATTCGATGAGTAATGTAGGGGGTCAAATAGGTTGGTCCGCACTTCTGAGTGCATTTGAGTCTTGGTGGTGGAAAACCGTGACGTAGCGAGTATATACGATAGGGATTGAACTCAAACGTAGTGATCAGTATTAACTGACCAGCTTGAACCTAAGCAGTGTTATTCTATCGCGTAATTAATGTCCTGTGCTAGCTTATCATAATCGAAATGGCTATCCGACCGATCATTCTGAGTGTATAATGCACTTTAAACTGTGAAATTCGTTATTCAGCAGAACTTCTGATCCAACTTGAGTTTCGATTTCTGACGTTCTCAAATATGCCGCGCGCTGCTGCTGCTGGTCATGCCGATAAGCCGAAAGGTCGAACGACCGCGTATGCCTTTTTCATGAAGCTGATGAGCGAAGAGCAACGAAAGAAGAATCAGAGCGTAGCATTCACGGAACTTACGAAAATGTGCTCTGAGCGATGGAAGGTAATCATTGGTTGAGCACGCTTCATTTCCGAAGCTGTCAATCCGCTATATACGCTGTATATCATTATGGTTGTTACGTATGTGTATATGTATGTATAGAACATGTCCGAAAGCGAAAAACACAAATTTCAAGTGATGGCCAATGAGGATAAAGTGAGATACGATAATGAGATGATGGGCTACGTCCCAGGACCCACGGACACGAAAACATCGTCGAAGAGGAAGAAGAAAGATCCGAATGCTCCGAAGCGTGCTATGTTAGTACGTAATGCTGCTGGGTTTGTGCTTGAAATTTAAAGCTTCCATTATTAGGTCGGCATTCTTTTGGTTCAGCCATGACGAACGCGCGAAAATTAAGGTATCGAATCCTGGACGATTGGCTGTTGCCGATGTTTCCAAGGAACTCGGACGCCGTTGGGCGCAAGTTTCTGCTGCTGATAAACATCACTACCAGAAATTGGCGGATAAGGACAAGCTTCGTTATGAAAAGGTGATACGCATTTTCAGTGTGCATTATATCGTATCCGCCCGTATATATATTTGCGGATCGTTCAATTTGTATGCCTAGAACTTTTCCTGACCATATTGAATGAATTTAACGGAATATCGGTTATTCCCGAGGCTCATAATAAACAATTCAATACTTCATGTACATGCGCTGTAACGCCATATAAAATATTTATAGTTCTGTATATTATACTGTTGACAGTATATATCCGAGTTTACTTGCTTATACGGTACTGTACTTTCTTTACCAGCCGAATAAAGGTATAGTATTATATTTGCGGCACAAGTCACAGCAGGAGGCATTAGCATCCATGAGGCATGCACCAAGAAAAGGATTATTTTTAGTGGCGTGGAGTCGATCTTGAGTGCCTGTTATTAATGGGAATTCAAACCCAATAACTATTTCGATATAATCCCAGTGGTGATAAGTTTTCGGAATGTTGAAGATTTTACTGAATAGTAATTTTTGAAGATCTTAGAAATAAGCAAGACGAAATTTTAATTGAATCTCCGAATATTTTCTTACGATGAATTTCAACTAGATCTATATATATGTTCACCATTTCTGAAAAAAAATAAATCCCAGCGCCGCTTTTACGCAAAAGTTGAGACGATGCGTTAAAATTAGTGGGATTCAGATGCGCATATACCTGTATTTATTTGCTGAGCGTCGTCTTCTATTTAATCTTAAGCACATACTTAAGCATATACTTGTGACAGGGACTTGCGTATCTACGAAGGGTGGGAAAAAGAGGTGGCTGTTATTTCAAAAAATAGTAAAATCATAAACAGGCGAGGCATTGTACATTTTTATGAAAAATTGGATGAGCTTCTGATCTGACATTATTTCCATGAGTATCTTTGAATGACCAGAATTTCTAAAATTTTCCAAGATGTACGTAGGTATTATTCTCTGTAAACTCATAGTTGGCTAATATTGTCGATTAATCATCCTGTCCTGTACTTCCCACGACGCAACTCCGGATGATTTGAGCGTATATTATTCAGTTTTAATTCCTATGATGGAAATAATGTTCATGCCAACATGGGAGCTCAAAGTTTGATTCTCTGTAGCAGAAAATTTGATCCTCCGTAATTAGTATTTATCTTTTTGGATCGGAGCAGTTATTATTCAGTTTTAATTCCTATGATGGAAATAATGTTCATGCCAACATGGGAGCTCAAAGTTTGATTCTCTGTAGCAGAAAATTTGATCCTCCGTAATTAGTATTTATCTTTTTGGATCGGAGCAGGGTGTGTTCATACTGAGTTTGGCTGTCTTTTCAGGAAATGGCGGCGTATCGTGCCAAAATCAAAGCTACCAATCATGAAACAGATGAGAACGATGGTGAAAATGATACCGAAGAAGACGAATAATTTGACGAGCGAAACAGTTTCGCAAATCGATGATCATTCGAAATGATGCTCAGCATTTGTACGCGTGTCTTGTTCGTCCGCGATCTCTTAATTTGATGAGTGAATTCTTTTCTTCTGTCTGGCTTACATAGCCGGTTTGCGGAATCTCGGTCTTTAACACCATTACTTCGTGTGCTTTGGATGCAAGTATTGCTAAAACCATAAGATAGTAAGTAATCAGATTAAAATTTAAATATAAGATAAATCTACGTACAAAAAGGTGAACTTCTTGGTATAGTAGAAGAGTTTTTTCGAATGGTTCTATACTCCTTTAATTTATTCCCGAAAGTTAGCCCTCTAGCAAAAAAATTCATTCAAAGAATACCGCAGTCCTATTTCAAGACCCAATGAGGAACGGTAGACTTAGTTCAATATCATCCTTGAAAATATAACTCTTCTATACTTACAATTGAAGTAAATACAGTACTGTATCATGAAGTTGTTCCAATTCACGATAAAAATTATTCTTGGCTAATTTTGTGAACCGGTTTCCATCAGTGAACTATAATTGATTGTATTAAGCGGAATATCACACAGAAACACCAATCAACGCATGAATGACATTCTCTTTTTGTGCATCGCATTCTCTCTCTATTCTCACCAAATACTGACATTTTCATCGCGAACAATGAATNAAAATCAAAGCTACCAATCATGAAACAGATGAGAACGATGGTGAAAATGATACCGAAGAAGACGAATAATTTGACGAGCGAAACAGTTTCGCAAATCGATGATCATTCGAAATGATGCTCAGCATTTGTACGCGTGTCTTGTTCGTCCGCGATCTCTTAATTTGATGAGTGAATTCTTTTCTTCTGTCTGGCTTACATAGCCGGTTTGCGGAATCTCGGTCTTTTTGTGGTAATGAAGCACACGAAACCTACGTTCATAACGATTTTGGTATTCTATCATTCATTAGTCTAATTTTAAATTTATATTCTATTTAGATGCATGTTTTTCCACTTGAAGAACCATATCATCTTTAGTTTTTTCGAATGGTTCTATACTCCTTTAATTTATTCCCGAAAGTTAGCCCTGTAGCAAAAAAATGCATTCAAAGAATACCGCAGTCCTATTTCAAGACCCAATGAGGAACGGTAGACTTAGTTCAATATCATCCTTGAAAATATAACTCTTCTATACTCTTCTATACAATTGAAGTAAATACAGTACTGTATCATGAAGTTGTTCCAATTCACGATAAAAATTATTCTTGGCTAATTTTGTGAACCGGTTTCCTTCAGTGAACTATAATTGAAAATAACCTTTACTTTTGGTAGAATTTCAGTGCATTTGATTGATTGTATTAAGCGGAATATCACACAGAAACACCAATCAACGCATGAATGACATTCTCTTTTTGTGCATCGCATTCTCTCTCTATTCTCACCAAATACTGACATTTTCATCGCGAACAATGAATTCCCGCTTTCAAGCACCAAAATCCTACGCCAGGGTTACCACAAATGTTCTTATTTCACTCGGTCTGAGAGTAATGACACCTTTTTCAATATCGTCATTCAAGCTCTCATCCTCTTTGTCCGCCTTCCCTTCGTAATCCCACTTCATTTTGACAGGTGCAACCTGACTACCCGAAAGGTCAGTTTCCCGAATGGACAGAACAGGTGCCGCTAGAATATCCTGAAAGAAAAATAAACATTTATTGAATTTTTCAACACCGTGAACAGACAAATTCACACCGAGAACAGAGACATGTTGACGTAAATCGATCGAAGCTTGAAGGCATGCGCAAAGAAGCCCAACTTTTTTCGTTAACTTTGAAATTTTCTAGAAACAACAATTCATACAACCAATATGATTTAATGCGTACTGCATTCCCTCATGAAATAATGTGATCAAAATATAAAATAGATTCATTTTTCAATGAAAAAAAAAACAAATGTCACATTCACTCAACTCACATGCAAAAATGTTTCAAAATTAACAAGGAAAAAGAGGATGTGCATCACACTTGATTCCGAGAGAACACTTCGACCCCATTTTTTACCAACAATGAAGTTTCGAGTAAAAAAAACTGAAGATTAATTGAATTCCGGTTCAATTGAAGTAAAATTCAAATTTTGATTTTTTTAAATCTTCCAAATATTGTAATTTTGAGATACCCAAAATGGGGTGCGCATCTTGCTCAGGGATATGTACGTATCCAAATTTAGGCTGAAAAGTCCAGGTAAGTTTCACTTGAGAGAGTAAATTAATTTAGATTGCAATTTTCAAGTCTGATGTCTCTTATGGTAAAAATGTGTAGTTCTGTGACGCGCGAAAATAATCTACACACAGCGCATGTGCAAAATGCTTTATATATACTAACCAGAAGCTCTATTGGCGCAGAATTTGACAACACAGCATCTTCTCCAGGTTCAAACATGTGCTCGAGCCTCATCAACAATCTACCATCCCTCCATGGCTCCAACGTCATCAAATTCACGTTCTCTGGCAAAGGAGCTTTCAACGCAGACACCTATATGACACCACACAAAAAAAAGCAGAAACGTGAAAAAGACTTTACAGTAAAGTTATTTTTCTCCTATGAAATTATTTTTCACCTTAGTTGCATATCCGGTTAGCCACTTTTTGGCACTCAGAGAAGTGGGTGCAAAAGCGTACAAGGGACGCATTATGTCCTTCACTTCCTCAGCTCTGTACAACTTTGCCGCGTTGCTGACAGACGTTAAAATGAATTTATGCAATCCACGCGCCACGAGTCCGGTTCCAAAAGCAGATTCATTCAAAGCTTCGCCAACGCCGAATGCGTCGTCGTACAGCAACCTTCTGTGGACCTGAAATTTCAGTCAAGTGTAAAGAAATTTAAGATCTCTCAACTTAGAAAATACAGACGTAAAGAAAAATCCTCCAGCATGAATACACATTCAACCATTCGCGGGACCAAAAACACATCTAAACAAGTCATTATCGACATGTGAAACGCGATTTCTCTTATAATAACATAATTTTAATTGATTCAATAGATTCCAATCCCTCACCAAAATCTCCATAAAACATCAAACATTTTGTGAATTTTTGGGAATTCAATATTGTTCAGCATGACATTGAAGTACTATACAGTATCTGAAAACTCTTGCTCATATAACTTTCTGAATTTCTCACATTGTAAAGACAATAAGAAATTCAAAATTTTCTGAAAAGAAAAGAACTATACTTCTCTTTTTATTCAAATAAACTCAAGTTTCAGTTCAAAACTTTTAAAAATTTGCGCTGTTTTGGCCAAAATATTGCCTTATGGGAAATAACTTCGTGCTGTGAATCATGTTTTTCCTTTTAAAATGTTCGTCAGCTGCTTTTTTGTGTTAATTTTTTTTGCGGGAACTCCCTGTATTTTAATTTTCTTTGAAAAAATTAGCGATCCACGCATTGTAATTCTTTAGTGGGAGCCACCTTTTTTATAGAGAAACAAGTTTTCACCATTTCATGGTTACTGTAGTGATAACTCATTCCACCCAACTGAAATATTCTAGACTTATGCGTAATAATCACTGATAATGCACTAAACGTACAATTCTCAAAATTTTCCATGAATGCAAACATTTAAAAATTTAAAATAAATTTACTCCTGATTTTCACCGCCTAACTTTTCCCATTTCCGAGGCATATACAGTAGAATTAGTTTACAGTACGGTATGTGTAATTTTGTTTCAAAAATTTAATTTCATCATCACGCTTTTCTTCAAATTTCCACGTATAATAAATACGGTATACTCGTAAATTCAATCGAAGGAAAATAGACATATTTCAAGTGTAGACCTGCAAAAAAATGAATATAGAGACGTACCATCAACTCAAGAGCCCCGTCAACGATGCTTCCTCCTCCTTGCGCTCGATCCGTCAAAATGGTCAATTGTCTTGACAAATTCGGATCAGATTGGTCCTCATCTCGGATATAACTTCTAGATAAAACTGGATAATAATTCCGAGAAACAGCTTCCGTGTCATCGCCCAATTCAAACGTTGGCCTGTAGTCTCGCGTTCTGGGTTCTGTCAATTTCCCGTTCGAGTCGGTGTAGAACTTGGCTCCGTTGCGGATATCAGTCACAAAGCGAGAAATCAACTCCTTCCCCACTCCGTCGCTAATGAAGAACACAAACTAATAAATTACCAGCCCCTCTGAAATGAATATTGACGGATAAAAAAAAGAAGTTTCTAGCATGGAGTTATTCGGGACATGGCCAAACATGAAACCGTAATTGCAATAACTTCAACCAGCGTCGCCTAAAAAAAAGAAAGAATGAATGGTGTCAAGAGAAGTATGCAATGCTCGTTTTAATCCGTTATTCCCTTTTTTGTATGCAGTATTCTTTCTTAAGTCATCCTGGAAAATTGATGACCGCCATTTTCTCTTGAGCTATCTCGAATTTTCAATTCACTGCTGCTTAAAATGTTTTTAATTGATTTCGACTATGGCTCGTACGCCACTATATTGCAGAAATTTTTCGAAAATTTAACCAAAACTTGGTTGGTTTCCATGTTCCCCTTTCGAAAAAAAAAAATATGCAGTCGCAAAACTCGCGATTTGAAACTTACTCAATCGGAATCGGTCCAGCAATCCACTCAGATTCCAGAACCTCACTGTCAGATCTGAATCGGATCACATGACTGGCCCAGTCTTCTGTGTACGCTCTAATTTCTGTCAACACGTCACCTAAGGAGAGAAATTAAATTTGTTAAAAAGTTGTGGCAAATGACGTGATGAATTGTAGAAAAGATCGGCACAATTTATACAACTCTAGTATACAAACACACCCAATTTTTCATACTACAGTAATAAGATTAAAGATATAACTTGGACATATACAAAAATGGCCCCGACTCCGACAGCTTCTTGCTGAACAATTGAGGTTTTAAGGGCTTGAAATCACAAAAAAATACTATCGCCTAGACTGGGTTTTAATACATTTTAGACTGGAATTTCGTGGGAAATTGGTAATAACAACTGGAAATACCCAATGAAACATTAATTTCAACGTACTCTTCACTTGAAAAAACGGCATACATTCTGAAATGGAGCTAAAGAATTTCCAAGAAACACGTCATTTGCGTATTTTCTTGATATCAAATTTTCTCTGCAGAAAGTGTAGCTTCTTTGATTAGGTCGGAATGCTTCAATCGTTCAATTTATCTTTGTTTTTTGGCCATTCATCAAATTATGCCTATGGCCTACGCAAAAAATCAGGGCATGAAAATAAACTGTAAATTTTACATCTTTACACGGATGGCTGGTTTGACTTGTACAGCTTCTTGCTCAGCAATTTAGATTTGTCTGAGGAGTGAGCATCAATTTACCAGCAACAAAAGACACATCCAACTGATCTCGCATGGTCAACGGAGCTTGACTTTCAGGCCTGAAAATATAAGCCCCAGACGCTCTGTCGCTAAAATTCTGATTAAACCCTCGCATCCCGTTGTAAAACATGAATTCCTGTCGGACTGACGCGCTGATTCCCGGCTGATCCTTCCTTTCAATCGAGCTCACGTGACCAGTCGCACTGTCCAACGTGATGACATAAAACTAATTCGGAACGAAGAAAAAAATGTCGACATAACAAATAAATAACAAAAACAGACACCAAGCTTACATCGTTCTCGAAGACGAAGCCCTGTTTCTTGGATCTATTAACTTTCAGTTTCACTTCTCGCTTCACACGATTTTTGCGTGCAGTCGACACGCTGACGTGATATGAAGCAAAACCCACAGGAGGCAAATCTCTGGCGACGAAGTGCACTTGGTATTCAGCGTTGCTGTTGCGACCGGGTAAAACGAGGATCGGTTGCGGAAGAGGAAATACATCATGGGGAACGGTATTTCCTGAAAAACAAAGTTGACGCGTTTTCATTTCTTTCTTTAAAATGCGGTTAGACAAGCAAACCATTTTTCAACTATCGAACGTTCCCGACTTTCTGATGTTTTTCACTGATACATACTTGACCCATTTACTAGAAAATCACGCGCACCTTTTTTCAAATCAAGAGGAAAAGAAGAGGGTGCGCATTATAAGCAGGAATAACATTTTTCACAATTTTTAATGCTTTAGCGCGCGTCATACTTGATTCCAGAAAGGAATTCGAACCAATTTCAACAGAAAATTTAAAAAAGGAAAAAAAAATTTGGAAAAATAACATTCAGTTTGCCAAAAATTTAAGACAAAATGGAATGGTGATGCATTTTATTTTCAAAATACGGCAATTTTCAGTCTCTAAAAATTGGGTGCGCTTTGAACTTGGGGGAACGTTTTTATCAAAATTGTCATACTCGATTCCAAAAAGGATAATATCAACGGACAATTTTTAAAATTGAAACTATGAAAAGTATAATATTCAGTTTGACTAAAATTCAAGTGAAACTTTTAATTTTAATACATTATATTTTCAAGATACAATATTGCAAGTTTTATTCGCTAAAAATGACGTGTGTATCGTACTCAGGAATACGTTTTTCTGAAAATTGCAGGCTAAAAAATTCGGGTGCGCGACACCTGGTAGACATTTCAATAACTGAAGTGGAGTCTTACAATAAAACTTATTTCTTCTTGAAAGAAGTTTCTCATAAACGATTCAAGCTTTCCTCACGCAAAAATATTCCTTCACGAATCCACTTTAGCTGTGATTCCAGTCCAAGTTGGCGCAGGTATTTTTATTGGGGTAACACAAAAATCCTTTGACTAGAACGGTTTCTTCCCGAAAGAAAGTCATATTAAAAATACTCTGTACAATACAGTAATCACCTTCCGGATCGGTGATCACGTAAGTCGGTGGACTTCCGTTTTCAAGGGCAACAACAGGGAAGACAATCAAGGGTGACTGGGGACGTCCGAGCGGATTATAAACAGTGATGATGAAATTTCCCGACGTCGTGCTTTCAGTAAATGCGCATTCACTAATATTCAATCGGGGACACGGGGAATACGCGAGTTTCGGTGCTCCATTCACCGCAGACGCTCTAAAAATCAACAAATAAACTCAGTCACACTCATGAATCGGTAAATGAGAGAAAAAAGGGGTTTTTTACGAATTGGCAGCAGCTTCAAATATCTTCCACCCGGCAACGTTAGCGTTGTGAAGAATTCTGTAGTAATCGTCCGTAACGTGCTGCTTCGCGGTTCCGGTTACTGCATCGTGGTGCTGGTTTATTCCCAGAGCTTCTCTCATCAGGTTCAACTCGGCCTCCAAACTGCCCGCGGCCGGTGCCAACGAGCTCATTTGTTTCACAGCCTAATAATTTATTGATCATCATGAATAATCTGACGATATAAGGCAGTTAAGTTCCTCTATTTTCAATACGGAAGACCGAATCAAACCACCTCAATCCAGAAAGAATGGATTTTTTTCCCTTCGGTTTTTATTCCCAAGGAACTGATCATTTCCCCCAATTCCAATCAACAAAATGATGAAAAAAAAAAACTTGAATACTTATTTCCATTGAAAACAAAAAAATGAGAAAACCTCATTTGAAAACATATCACCACTAAACCTAAAGAAACCACATTCCAGAAAGTATACGGATGTCTGTTCTCATTCCTACGCATGGAAAATTTTTCATATCAATGAAGCAGCCAAGATAAAACCTTGGATATTTCCATAGAAAATCCAAAACTCTTTAACAATCCTCTCGACTCTAGACATAAAAAATGTTTACAAACTAATCTTTGCGATGATATGCACTTTAAAATTCGACCCACCCAAAGCCGAATTGATTAATCCGAGATAAGAAACTCTCAGATAATTATATTTTATTGTGAAGAGCAACTACGATTTAGCCTGAATAACGTTTATTCAATGCCGAGGCCTTCATCAGAAAGAGCTTTTCGCCCAGGTTTGTCCAAATAAACTTCAATAATCTATTCATATTTTTCCGACTTGAAAAATGTCATCTCCATTTTTAATTCCGCCAAATAATCAATATTGTGTCTATTGGGCAGGGACCCACAAAAATCGGCATAACGATTTAACGACCAAAATCCCATCGTGGCGATTGGGCAAGGAAAAACAAAAGTCGTTATAGCGAGATTCTTCATAACGACATTCGTACAAGGAGCTGCGACTGCATATACCTGTAACATGGCGTTCGACGACCTGATGTAACCCTTGAAAGTCGGCCTGGAAATAAAATACCCAGTCCAATAGGCATGTGGGTCACTGGCATACGGGAAAAAGTCGTCAGTCTTCGTCGGCCACGTGACTCCGGCATCGTTGAGACCCTTGAGATAACACGACGGCGTTGAGTAGAACAAGTTCACTCGGGATCCACTCGCCTGCTCAGCATTCACGTACCTTTTTTCGACAACGAAAAACAAACAATGCCCTCACGCATTCCTCAACACACACACACACACACATCAGAGATAAGCTGGAGTATTTCATACCTAATTAGCTTATCCAAGTTCTTGTACCACACATGCGCGTCTTGGTAGTTGAAATCGTTGCCCATTGTTATCATGACATGATTGGTTTTGAACGCTTTCGCTTCATCCTCGGCCCACTTGATCAGGTCGGAGACCTTTGGCGAAAGATAACAGTGAAAGTTGTTTTTCGTTGCTATGGGACAAGAGGGGGTTTTTTTGCACACGAACCTTACTGATTACGTTGTAGTCGGGTGAGTTGGGATTGTCAATAATGACGTCGGAACACAGCAAATCAAAGCAAAAGCCCGGAGGTGGGCTGTAGTGGTTGTACAAAGCTCCGGTGAAAATCTCAGATTTCGCTCCTAGAGAAACAAAACAATCCAAATTGCTCGAAAAAAACACAAGAATTTAACAAGGTAAAATAAAATCATCGAAGAACTCCAGAATATACAAATGACTAGGCACAGTATATACATTTTTGAATTACGGAACAATATACATAACAATTGATTTATTTATTTTTTCGATTCAACAACGATTTCCCTGACTGCTTACATTTCTTAGCACATGTGTTTTACACATGTCACCTCAATTTCTTTTAGTTTGCGAGGTCAACGTTACGATATTTAAAGTTTTTTACGTCGTATTCCGGGAGTTGAACACAAGCTAAAATAGATTTCGAGAAGAATTTCCGAATTACGACAGTGATTCAGGCGACATCTTCCAACATTTCAAGAAACAACTAGTGGTGAAAGCGAAAAGAAATTCAGTAAAAAACTACACTTGCACCAATCCGCGTGGAAAAAATTGAAAACTTGAGAGAAATGAATTCAAATTATTGAATGAGAAGAAAAAAGAATTTAAAATGAATACATGAAAAGAATTCGCATTCATTCGAAACTATGGCAGATTCCTACACTTCCAAGCACTCGACCGAAACTAGACCTAAATAAACTTGAACCCAACCTGATGAGCCGTATTCAAGAAAAACTACGCGAACATGATTCAAACCAGCTGAAATTAACGTAACTTAAATTCAACAGAAGGTTGAAAAGTTTTAAAATTAAAAAATGAAAAATATAACAGAAGACTTATGTGATATAAACTCAACGAAAGGTATAAAAAAGTCTTGACTTTCAAACAACGAAAATATCATTTCAGCAAAACCGAAGAGAGATCACTTAATTAATAGATTCAGAGACCAACAATTTACCCAAGCGAGGATTAGCCCGCCAGAGCATTTCCATGGTTTGTTCATTCTTCCGTTTGGTTTTATCCCGATAATCCAAACGAGCGAAGAAAAGCCCATCCATTCCCATCTCTGCGAAAATTGCTGCTTGTTCCCTGGAATGTCCGAATGGATCGATCTGCCAGCCAATTTTCGGGCGTCCACAGGTACCGAACGTGTCTTCCAAGAACCTCAAAACACAGCAAAACTTCTAAAATTCGCATTCTTCGCCCTTCATCATTGTAAAGACAAATTCTTAATCTTTAATCGAAATAATCATATTTATAGTATTTCAATAAAACGTGACTGACAAATATAGGCGCCGAGATCTGAAACAACCGGCAGTCGATAAATAAGACAATGGAACTGAGAGACAACGCGATTTTTCAACAAAAGGAAAAACAATCAATCTTGTGATTGATCTCGGCAAAAGGGAATTTTCGTGACAATGTACCCATTTAATTAAGAAAAAAAGGCTTTTACCGTGAATTTTCTTCCTCATCCTCCACAAATATTTTGTTCTTCAAAAATCGCTAGACATGGAACTTAAGGAACCAAAAAAAGTTGCTGTCCTTCAACAAAGCTTGTTCACAAGGGATGGTTCAAAAGTTTTACTGGGCCTTGAAATTAAAAAGCTACATTCAGTCTCCTCGAACGAAGCACTGTGGAATCAATAAATACATAGTCATGTTTAAATTCAGCCCCAATAACATAAAAATGATCAAAATAAAAAATTGTTTCCCAAGATCCGGGATATCGTAAAACAGATTTTTCAAATACTGTATCTTAAAAGATATATTTGGTAGTTACTTAGACGGCCTTCAAATTCCTCAAGTTCGAAAAATAAAACCCATGGCCTCAATTTAATACTAGTGTACCAAAAAATCCGTCTTTGCTCCAATTCAATCAAAAGTTTAAACTTTGAAATTCGAAAAAATAAGATTTTATTTTGGGAAAATGATTTTACATGCATTTACCCAACAAAGAAAACCCTGATCAAATCATAGTTCTTTGTGCTTCAGAAACAATTTCGGCTATCACTAAAATTATATTTGGCAGCCCAGAGCAAATTGACGGGTACCAAAAATTGAGCAGGAAAAATTGAATGTTCCAGCCCATAATTAAAAAAAACGAGAAAGCTTAAAAATTAGGTAACCAAATAATAAATGCAGGAAAATAAATCTCACTTCCATCCCCAGGACATGTTGTCAATAATTGCGGTGTAATGAGCTGACGCTTCATCATTCATGGACCATCCGCCACCAATGAATTCCAAACGTCCTTCATCAACCATTCGCCGATAATTATCCCGGGTCTCTTCATTCTGCTCGTCCCACCACATCTTAAAAAAGGCGGTTTCTACTTGGATAAACCTTGAAAAAATAAAAATTCAAAAAAGTGTCTCAGAAAACATCGAAAATTAATGCGCCAGATTAAAAATAATCGAGTGAACCTTTTGGATTCATCCTTCAACAGCTCCTCCAAATACGAGTCGATGATGTACTGAACACCCGCATTCTGGATCTCGCTACGAGCTGCTCAAAAATTAAAATCAATTTAGCAAAATTGTAGGAAAAAAAAACAGTTGCACTCATCACCTCCAAAGTAATACTGATCAACAGTTTTCAGCCAACCAACGTCATCATGACTGTGTGCAACTATGTGAACATTGAGTTTATCTGCTTCTCCCTGTGGACATGTCTAAAAAGGCAACCAATGAAATAGAAAAAAAAACCTGTCAATTCATTTACGGAAATATACGATAACGGTGCATTTTTTAATGCATAGAATCATGCAACCAGACAGTCTTTATACAGCAGCAATGAAATTACCAAAGCTAATGACCTGGCTTTGAAACTGCGAATTCTTAAACCCTGTAAAAGCTGAAAACCAGGGTTTGAAGTTTTTCTAGCTCAGAACAAACATAATTTTTACGAGAATCACATTTTCAAATGAAACAAAATGTCTCTGGTCTTCCATGAAAGAGACCATGCTTTACGTGTATCTTATATATTCTCAAAAATTCATTCAGGAATACAGTAAATTACTCGTAATCGTTTCGAAAGATGTTCTTTATTAAAAGTTCAATTTTTGGTTCCACGTAATTACATATTCAATAATGAAATTTAATTTAGTGACTTATGTTCAGGGCCTGAAAATTATGCCAATTTTTGAAAACAACCTCATTAAAATACATTTTCCATCTCATGACTCTCGACACTGTGAAACTAAAAAGGAAGATATAATGAATAAAAATGTTTCGATTGTTACATTTTTCAAGAATTTATGTCGTTTTCTCACCTGGTAGCCACAGTTCACTCCTTGCTTCACCTTGCGACGATCAATTACGGAATGACCAGATAAATTTCCAACCACACAAGATAAAATTAAAACAGCTAGCAGCAACCTAATTTATGTCGTTTTCTCACCTGGTAGCCACAGTTCACTCCTTGCTTCACCTTGCGACGATCAATTACGGAATGACCAGATAAATTTCCAACCACACAAGATAAAATTAAAACAGCTAGCAGCAACCGCATTTTGGGAAAACCTTCTCTTCTAGCCCCCACGAAACGAAGTGAAAACGTCAAAAATACACGAAGCTTACTCAGCAGCAGCTTTGGTAGATTTACAGCCTTGGGCAAAATAATTTCGTCTATCCGTTCGCTGCCAATCAAATAAAACGCTTCCGTATTTATTTGTCTTCAGATACCCGATGATCAATTCTTTTGGATTTTACTCATGAATTACATTTTTAAAATGGCAAGACTTCGCCAACGCTGGACAAAAAGAAAACCATGCAGAATTACACATGAAACACTGTTTCCTGGCAAGTATGATTTCAGGTCTGTTTTTCACAAGAGCAAGAATCGAAGTGATGCACACGAGATGGTGTTCGAGCAATACTGTAACTTCATTTGGGGCGCGCAAAACTCCGAAATACAGTTTATATACATTTTTTCAAGTATCTCAGGCTTCAAGATAAGCTCATCCAAAGAGAAGGTCAAAATCGTAAAATGTTTCAAGCTCAGATCTCGAAAACCACGTTCAAACCAAAAATAACGCGCTTCTCACAAGGTATGTCTTACACTTCCATAATTTCTTTTTGCTTTTCAAGAGAAGGAAAATCGCGTTTATTTCCAGAATCTGTTTCACGCGGCGTGAACGACGTAATGATAATCCGATGAATTTAAAGAAGAATGGATGCTTAGAAGCCAAGTTTCTGAATAAATTTGCAACTCCTTGCCAAATGAACATACACTTGAATAGGCAATTAGGCAAAATTTCATGATTAGGCAAAATTGAATATGTGTTTGAGTCTACAAGCTTGCGAATCCTACACGTATCGTAAATAATATCCAAAAATTTTCCCGAAGAACATTCACTGCATACTGCCGGTCATTTCCTGAACATTACCATGGAATTCAGAAACGAAATACTGTAAATAACCCAGTCCTCCGAAAAATGTTTAAAACGCTGGATTCGAAAAAAAAACCAACTCACCAACAACTTGACGATAACCGAAAAGATTTTGGATCCGTATTTCAACTCCACGTTGCATTTCACAAATGGGTTTCTCCTGTTCAAAATAATTTGGGAAAAATTGGCACAGGCCATGCGGTGAAACACAATTAAATTTGATTGATACTCACCCAACTCTTCAGCACGCGATTTCCTCAAACTTACCCAAGGAATTCTGAGTTCAAGTCGAAAATAACTCTGTCGGAGTGCTTTTCCAACGTGTATGCATAGTGTAGCTAGACTTCTTTTTTGCTTCTTGAGCTTCATCTGATGCCAAAAGATCAGATTCTAATCGGTTTTCGTCTGCAAAGTTATTTTCTGTACAGTATCTTAAAATTGCGAAACAAATTTTATTCAATATTTGAGAAACAATTAAATACGTTCTCATTGAAGTCTACAAAAGAAACGTGATGCGACACAGGTACAAGGTCCAAGCATCAATCACGTCCGCATCTCGAGGCCCCACTGTATTCAACGACTTGACATGAATTGAAAATTAAAATGCAGTCTTCAATACACGAGGACAGGTCAGCTGCCAGACTGATTGCCGTGTTTCCTTTCTTCCTTTCCTCAACTTTTCCTCATTCTCCGCAGAAAGTGGAATTGCGTTTGTCGCGAAATTCTCAAACTTCTGTGACATCATCATCACAGAAACGCGGAAAATTCTCACATTCGAAAGAAAACCAGGTGAATCTTCATCACTGTGTTTATAACTGCAACTTCGCTCAGACACCCCACC